CCAGAGGTCGTCCACGTTGACCTCTCTTGCTGACTGGGGCAGGAAACCAGAGCCATTTGTCGCTGTCACGTTACCACCAATAAATGGCGTTGTCCACGTAGCGTCCAATATCAGGGGGGTTGGGGTGCAGACCCATAGATGGCGTAAAAATTGCCACTCTACACTTCGACGAGGGTGACGACACCGTAATAGTCTCTCACAACATCACTGGTCCCTCACAACATCACTGGTCCCTCACATATCGTGTCAGTGATGGGTTAAACTTGAGAAACCGGCCGACACCTGCCAACTTCCCACCGGCGCCCCCTGGAGAGGGTGTATACATGGCTGCATGATAGACAAATTACAATTGTATACAACTGGCTCACCACAGATGTTAAATGGTCATGTTAGAGATTATTGGAGTCCAGTGCCTGTACCCACCACGTGACTGTAACCTGTCTGGCACTCACCCACCGGATTAGTATGGCGTTGTAAAACATTAATTAAACAAACAAACTCATTTTGTGTTAGTCTCTTAGGCTCACGATGATATTATTTTGCTAAACTGTGAATAGACTATTGATATATTTATACTGTATGTTAACAAACTATGTAACTAGCTCACTAATACTGCAACTTACTTAGTTAAATGTATTTTTTGCAATCAGCAACTGAGCCCAGTCTGTACTTCTGTAACTTTTCCCACTAAACTTATAGAAGATAAGTGAGCGAGAAGGTTGAGTGCCTGACTCTGGCAGCATTACTGTGCGACGCGTATATATGTAATGGGCGGGTCTCCGCAAGGTCCTGTCTGGGGACCGCTACTGCTTCTCATCAACCAAGCCACAAACCAACTACAAGCAGATTGCGACCAATACAAACGTTACGAGGGAGGTAAAGGAAACATGGAAGGAGCACATGAGGCAAGCAATCTACCATGACAAGTAGTGAGGTGCAAGCCTCAGTGATGCGCATCCCGCTCGTCTCACTCTACTCCCACAATCTATAGCATCCTCGTCGCTTCCCCTCCCCCTTATATAAAAATATGACACGATTCAGAGATCTACAGCAAAAGTGGGCCCAAAAATAATAGATCAAGAGGGAAGAGGGTTAAGTGCAGTAATAGGGTGAAGGAACAAGGCAGATAAAGTAGAGACAGAGTAGGATGAGATGAAGGTAGGCAAAGGATAGTGAGAGAAGAGTGTGAAGGTAGATACTGAAGGGGCCATGAAGGCTGTGGTGGTGCAGGTAGATCAAGGAACATATTATGGTCACTGCAGTAGATAATATAAGGCACAGTATATTGTCATAGCGGTGGGAGTAGATAAAATAATGGTAGAGTATAATGGAGATAGGTTAATGTAGCTAGGGTAGAGTGCGGTGATAGTCGTGGAGATAAACCAAAACGGCCAGGTTATAGTGTGAGAGTAGTCATGGAAGTAGACCAAGGAAGCCAGGGTACATGCGATGGTAAAAGTGGAAGCCAGGGTAGACTGTGATGCCAGAAGTGGAAGCCAGGGAAGAGAGAGGTACAATCTCTCAGCCTGCTAAAGTTATGTGACAGGAGTTAATAGACACTGTTTGCTTTTAGGTTCAGCAAGTTGATAAGCCAACCGGCCTGTTAGACGGTTACGTTGATATTGAGTGTACAAGGCAACTGGCGGGGTGTGTCCTGGGCAGCACAACACTGACAGTGTTGGGGTGTGTCCCGGGCAACACAACGCTGACAGTGTTGGGGTGTGTCCCGGGCAGCACACCGCTGACAGTGGTGGGGTGTGTCCCGGGCAGCACAACACTGACAGTGTTGGGGTGTGTCCCGGGCAGCACACCGCTGACAGTGGTGGGAATGTGACGGACAGGAGTGCGTGGGAGGCGACAGCCGCTGGTAACCTCATAAGAGTTTTTACATCACCGGCTTCTGCACTCAGTGCCGATGTGATATATTTTATGCCTTCCCTTCATTTCATAGTTATCAATGCCCAGACATTTAGGCATGGTAATGATTAATTATAATATAGCCTAAATGGTTATCTATGTTGTAAGGTTTTATTAGTTATTAAATCCGAGTTTGTTCAATGAGACAATATGCTGTAGAGTTGTCTCTCATACAGAGTCGCCAACGTGCTCACTGGTCTAAAATCGACACACATTTATATATTTTCACCTTAGCAAGGCTTTAAAGAGGAAATGGGGGTGGGGGTGGCCGTGGTTTTGGAGATAAAGTCCTTAATTTAACTGGATTAGGATATGAGTGACATGTATGAAGTAACATTTAGCACAAATCAAGATGGAGAACAATCGCAAATTCACAAGTATTCTGCCCCAGAGTTGTGTCAAGTATCTTATTCAACAAGAAACGTCATCAATCCCGTTGCCACGGCCTTCCTTCTATCTCTACCAACAAAGAAAGTCTTCAGCCATGTCCCTGCTGCCTCCCCACTAACTTCAACAACAAAGAAAGCTTTCAGCCCTTGATCAGTTAAATATGTTGACCTTTTTGTGCCCGCTGTAGTCCTTTTATGCGCTACCGCTCACAGGATGAGTATGGGGTGCACAATAAACTAGCCGCCTTCGGCGACAACACTAAATCAATATGCTATCTTGTGTTAAGGAACTTTCAGCCCCTGACTTTTCAGATGTGTCCAGTAGGCTCTATTGTTTGAACTACTAGCTGCAGTAACTAATATTATCTATTACGGTGCGGACTATTAGCTGAAGTAACCAGTAGGATCTATTACGATGTGTAGTACTAGTTGTAGTAACCAGTAGGATCTAGTGCCGTGTGGACAATACCTGGAATAGTGGAGTGTGTGACGGAGACAACTTATCTGAAATTAGCAATTTCATATTCGTTAATTTTATGGTATTTGCGTTTGTCAGCAATATTTTAATTCATTGTGTCGGGGGGACAGGAGGCCAGAGTGTATTCATACACGTTTGGCTTTTATCGAGGGCCCTGCTCCCAAGCCGAATTACTGATCCCCGCCCAGGATGTAACCCCCACATTAAGCTGACTAACTCCTGAGTACCTATACCTACTCACTGCTAGATGAACATAGACATTAGGTGAAAGGAAATGAGCCCAACCATTTCTGTTCCCCAGAAATCTGGATTGTGGGTCAAGAACGAACCCGACTGTACTACCAGGACCCTGTTTGACAGCATCACCAATATATTTCATTATTTGGGTTCAACAGTTCACATTTTGTCAATTATCCATAGTATGTATAAGTACTAATATTTTTGGGTGACATGTTGGACATAATTTAAAAAAAAAGTATTAATTATACTCATGTCATCCAAAAATTATAGTACTTATACATACTACGGATAATTGACAAAATATGAACTGTTGAACCCAAATAATTATGTTATTTGGGTGTCATCCAAAAAATAAAGTACTTTTAGCATCTATATAATAGGTAAGGTACAAAATGTTGTTGCACCCAAGATAACCCTCATTATATACTATTACTTTTTGGCTCGATAAAGAAGGCAACAACCAAACTGAAACTTTCTTAGGCAGTATAGCACATATATGTACTAAACTAGGCCCATTAAGATGGTGTATATTAGGCCTACAATTGCTTACTTAGGGCTTGTGCAGGTTAGGTTGTATCGTAGCACTTCCACTTATATTATTATTATATGATTTTTACTTAAATGTTAATGAAAATGTTTATCGTCTGTAGAAATGGGAGTCATGGGGAAATTGGTTCTCAAACAGGGGTATAGTAAATAAGTATATTCATGTTACAAGGTAGTTCAAGTTCAAGTAAGTTTATTGAGACAAGAAAAAAAATACATCTCAAAGGGATTGAGTAGCTTAGGCTACTTCTACCCCCATTGCAAGATAGTTTTGGCGAAATACGACGAAGCTAAGAGAAGGGATGAGAACGCCTCGAGGGAGGAGTGGAGGGTACATCCCATGACGTGGTCGATATATTTCTGCAAGTAATGATGAAACGCTACGCGTACTAGTGGCTGTACAAGAATGTAAGAACTCTTGTATATATAAATAAATAAAATTGTGGCTTAAAATTAATTTTGTTTATTGATGTAGAAGTGAAAAAAAATGTACCAGTAGGAGAATGTTCCAGCTTAATTAATTCAAGCTGCTTAGCATATAACTAGCTCTTGAAATATACTATGTAATTCCTCGTATAGACTTAGGGCAGCACACTGTCCAATCACCCTACGTGGTACCAGTCACTTGGTACAGAAGACGAATCGCACACATTTTTACCATTTCGGACACAAAATTTGTACGGGCTCTATCAACCAAATGTTCTACCTCTACGTACTTCAGTACACACAGAAATCACAATAGCGTGATATATTATTACATGAACAAGTCCACAAAGGCCTTGATGAGGCCTTATGGGCTTTGATATATCACGCTATTGTGATTTCTGTGTGTATTGAAATGGGGGCGTAGAAGTAGAACTTTTGGTTGACAGAGCCCGAATGTATGAGGGGAATTATGTATTCACCTAGTTGTTCTTGCGGGGGTTGAGCTCTGCTCTTACGGCCCTACTCTCAACTGTAACTAACTACTAATTTTTTTCCACATACACACCCAGGAAGCAGCTCCTTAACAGCTGTCCAACTCCCAGGTACATATTTACTGTTAGGTAACGGGGCAGCAGGGTGAGAGAAACCTTGCACATTTGTTTCTGCCTGGGCCGGGAATCGAACCTGGGCCACAGAATTAAAAGTCCTGGGCGCTGTCCGCTGTGCTACCAGACTCCAGTTGTGTTTCGGGATCCTAGTGAGGGCAGTAGCACTCCAGGTTGCAATTCTTTTGACCATATAGTGGTACAGTTGACTATAGCGCGTCTGGGAACATTCCCTGTGTAAGTTCGAACCCTCATCACGGCCCTTGTGGTTTGTACATCACAGTCTACCCTGGTTTCCACTTCTACCATCACAGTCTACACGCATATGTATATACGATAGAGCTCGTGTATACAAAATTGTTAGTGAACGAACTGGTTTTTTGTGCCTCCGAGCTGACGTTGTACGAAACAATTGTGTAGGTGCCAGTCCCGGTGCAGCTGACGGCCCCAGAACACTGAGTCTTCGCGTCGCTCTCCTCTCCACGTTTCTTCCTACACACGAGGTGTCATTCAAATATGGCAATGAAAGGCAAGTTTTGTTTTGCCATAGACCGTGGTGGGACCTTCACAGACGTGTATGGTGTGTGTCCCAGCGGGGAAGTGAGGGTGCTGAAGCTGCTCTCCGTCGACCCCACCAACTACCTCGACTCCCCCACTGAAGGCATCCGCAGGATTATTGAACAGGTGCTATAACATTGTTAGTCTGCTTAGTGCTACTGTTAGTACTCGCCTTGCAATATTTGTTTATTAACTAACTTTGGTACACGTAGCAACATGCTGCTTCCATATTTTATATAAGGGATTACAGAGTATTGTATTGGTCAAGAGTTTAGGTCATTTATTATTGAGCTCTGTAGGGTTTAGTCAATTTTTGTCCTTAACTGTAAATTATTTCATTTTCGAATTTTAAGTGAGAACCAAAACTTAGGCTAATGAGGAAAATCGGCAACTAGGAAGAATTTACAATTTAGGGAGTACAAGTACTGTACTTCACATTGATTTGTCTGGTGTTGAGAACTAAATGAATAACTTTATTGTAGCTTCTTGTGTGGCATGTACAGTATTTTTCCCTGTTGTATCGAGAATGTAATACTGTATAGCTGATGATTATATATATTTATACTCTATATTAAACTTTTTTATTTTATAAAACCTGTACACATCGTCTGCATTTCAGGAAACTGGAAAGAGTATTCCTCGAGCTTCTCAAATAGAAACAAACGATATAGGTTGGATACGTATGGGGACGACTGTAGCTACAAATGCCCTCTTGGAACGAAAAGGAGAGAGGATGGCTTTAGCCATAACAGAGGGCTTTAAAGATCTTCTTCATATTGGTAACCAAGCTCGACCAAATATATTTGATTTAGTAAGTGTTGTAAAAGTTGTTGGTAAAATAATGTATTAGTGATATCCTAGGAAAGAATGATTCGTGTACAATATGCATATGCACTTCACCTATAACACAGTCGGTTCACAACCGAATGGTCCTAGGTTCGATTCCAGGCAGAGCAAAATGTCTGGGCATGTTTCTTTAGATATGATGCCTCTGTTCACATAGCAGAAAAAATGTACCTGGAAGTTAGTCAACTGTTATGGGTTCTCGAAGAGTGGTCAGTCATTGGCTTGAGAAGCTTAAGTCTATTTGTTTCTGACAGTGGGCAACTTGTATCTGCACTCGTAAATACAGTATGTGTAAGAAAGAAGAAAAAAAAACTAAATACAAGATTCAATCGGATCTCATTGAAAGAAAATGACGTGTAGAGGATCTGGGGAATAATGATGTCGGACAACCTAATGTTTAGTGAGCATAAGAGAGCAAACATAGCAACAGCCAGAAAAAATGATAGGGTGGCTTATAAGAACCTTCTAATTTCAAATCTAAGGATTCAACCACAATGCTCTTTTCAAAACACTTTTTTTTTGAAAAGCAGTAGTCACCTTGAGTACTGCTTGGCACTCGCTTCCCCTTTCAAAGGAGAGATTTCTGAAACAAGGAATTCAAAGAACATTATAAACAGTACACACAGACATCGTAGAGTACCTAAATTATTTGGACTATTTTAAAACAAAATAATATACTCGTGGAAGATGCTGGAATGCCAGATCCCAAATATGCACAACAGAATAATAGCCTACTGGAGCAAAACATATGGTATGAAATGAATATAAATCCAATGAAGAGTAGAGAGGCTGAAGACAGTCAGAGAACACTGTATTGAACTTGAGGCCCCATGGGTTTTCAATCTCCTTCCAACAAATATAATATTGATGACACAAAAGTGGACATGTTCAAGAAGCAGACATGTTCCTGCAAGAAGTAGGAGACCAATTGGGTTGCAATGAACAAGGTGGTTGCTGGTTGAATATGGTGGTTAATCTAAACAGCTGTTGCTTGCTTAATAATAATTTTATTCAGAAAATATGCCTAAGAATATGATAGTGGTCTGTTTGTAGGTACAGAATATTGATTAAATTCATTAACTGATATGCAAAGCATTTCAGGCATAACATAAAATTTGTTGTTAATTTATTTTTAATGTTTAATGGGGTAAACAATTCATTCCAAACTATAAGCTAAAATATATACATTGTTCAAGAAGTTTAACAACTAATGTGCAATTTTCAAATTATACTCAATGATAGGAGGGATAGACTACATTAACCTAGAATCTGAAACCTCAGCAAAACAAGATGCCCCTGGCCTGGTTTGGAAAGTAAAATTCTCAGAACCAACTCCAGGTAAACTTCAGGTAATAAATGTAAATATATTGCAACAACAACAGAATATTGTAATGGGTAAATATAACTAAAACATTAGTAGTAAAGTGATGCAAAATATATTTATAGGTAGGTGTTTGAAAATCTGCAACATTTCAAAATTCAGGCATGACTGTCCTAACTACAGTATGCAGTATCTATATCATCTGTGATCATCCTTTTCAGTGATAAAATGGCAGCAAATACTCTGAATACTTTACATCAGTGTTCACACCAGAAAGATTGAACGACACCCCATCACTCACACAAATGTTTGAAAGAGGTGAAGAGAATGAATTCAGGAATATACCAATTACATGTGTCAATCAGAAAGAGCATTGACAAACTAAGACTCGAAAGCCCGAGATGTGGATGGATTTCAATCCAAAATTGTAAAGGAACTGGAAAATGCACTATGCTTGTCACTGAAACTATTTTCAGAAAATCCCTGGACAAGGGATACTTCCCCTGGATTGGAAACATGCAAATGTTACCCCTATTTTCAAGCAAGGCAGAAAGAGCTTGGCAGAAAACTACCGTCCGATCAGCTTGACATCACACATCTGCAAGCTCGTGGTGAGAATCCTAAGGGAAGGAATTGTACATCTTGCAGAGAACAATCTCGTAAAATCGACACAAACATGGGTTTGTTAAAAATAGATCCTGCCTCACTAACCTGCTCACATTTCTGGAAACGGTAACTGGCTATTCAGACAAAGGAGTTTTGGTAGATGTAGTTTACACGGACTTTGCAGAAGCTTTTGAAAAGGTTCCACGCGAAAAACTGGCAAGGAAATTACAGGCACATGGAATAAATGGGAGAATACTGGAATGGATAAAACAATGGGTAAAACATAGAAAACAAAGGGTCGTGCTAAATGGGAATTAATTTGACTGGGGAAATGTGCTAAGTGGGGTGCCACAGGGGCCCATTTTGGGGCCAACCTCTTTTTTCATGTACTGTACATCAATGACATAGATGAGAGTATTACAAACCACATCATCAAATTAGCAGATAACACTAAAATCTATGATAAAGTGGGAAGTGAAGGTGATATTGAGATCTACACGAACTCCACAAATGGTCAGATGACTGGCAAATGCTTTTCAGTGTTGATAAATACAAGACCTTGCATATGGGGCACAACAATCCACCTCGCAACTATCAAATTGACAGCATAACCTTGCAACAGATAAATGAAGAAAAGAACCTGGGAGTCAGAATCCATCATTCATTAAAAGTTGCACAAAAGTTGGAGCGGCAATAAGAAAAAGCGAACCAAACCCTGGTAATAATCAAGCGTACCTTTACCTTGAAGGAAAAGAAAGTAGTCGTTCAATTGTACAAGTCTCTGGTGCGCCCCACCTGGATTATTGCATCCAGGCATGGGGACCTCGTCTTCAGAAAGAAATAGGTGCTCTGGAGAAGGTGCAAGATCCGGCAATAAAAATCATGCCAGTGCTTGATCATCTCGCATATCGGGAACGGTTAAGAGCCACTGGGCTAACAACACTGCAAACCAGGCATGATTGGACAGATCTTATCAAAACCTTTAAAATGCAGTACTGAACAATTTGGAGGATATCGATCCGGTCAATTTCTTCAAAAGGTCAGATGTAACATGAACGAGGAGCAATGGGTTCAAGCTCAACAAACTGAGCTTGAACATTAAACAGAGAACAGAATAGAACAGAAAACAGGAGATAGTTTTTCACCCATAGGGTTGTAAACCCGTGGGTTTACAACCGCCTACCCGCCAAAGCTGTAAATTCAAAACTCTGCTGGGTTTTAAAATTCAGCTGGCAAAGATCATCAGGGTAAAAGAGAGCACCTTTGACAAGCTGCTGGCTTCCTGTCTTCATTGAGGCCACTAGTATTAGTGGCCTTTGGGAAAATTCGGGTAAATCTGTATTATTGAGATTCGACTGTAATTACATAAGTACAGTACCCTATTGTATTGCCAAATTCAAATAATTAAGTAATTTAAATTGACATTTAGGTTTGGTGATCTTCATTAATAAGCCGTGTATCTCTGTGACAGCACTAACCCTTAGTGTAATTTTGCATGGCAGACATTTCTTGTGTTTTTACACAGCTTTTTTGTTACATTCATTCATTATAGCATCTACAAATGTTTTTTTTTGTTATGTTTTGTGCACTTTATGGATTACTGTATATTCTTGCAGTGAAATCTAGAATAGTTGTAGCTTCTCCTTCCCCAAGATGTCTTGTGCAGTGCAATTCTGTGTAGCACCTAGTTTTCCTGGAATGCATCTCTTACACTGTGTAAGGGTCTGATATATGGCACAGTACTGTAGTTTTGATGGTTGTCTCCAATTTTTTTTTTAAAAGACCATAGATACAATTTTATCTGATCTTTATTAAGATGTAATTTACTCTTGAGCTATATTGCTACTTAAATTGGGAAATGAAAGATAGGACAGAAAAGAAGCATCATAATGGAAGAAAAAATTAAGACTGATGAAGGAAAATGGGAATAGTGGAGGATATCAAAGGAAACCTCGGATTGTTGTCTGTCCAGTCATTTTGCCACATGATCTGATTCGCTGAAAAGTTTGATCAATATTTATTGAATTGTTGAAATAAAGCAAGACGTAAGAATATAACACCTTGCCAAACATTTTAAGAATTAGGTTTATCATGGGGTCTTAGTGACACCATGGTGACTATAGACCATATATGTAGGAACTATTCAGGACTTGACTTTACTGTAGTGCAATATTTTTGCAGGAAATAGTGTGTCCTGACGTTCTTTATGAGGAAGTGATTGAAGTGCGTGAACGAGTGGTACCACGGCAAGACACGAGTAAAGGTGAAGCTCTTGATAATAACTGGAGTTTGACCAAGGGATCAACTGGTGATGAAATGCTGATAACAAAAGAGCTGGATGAGGCTAAGCTCCAAGAAGATTTAAAAGAAATTTTACAAAAGGGCATTAGGTCTCTAGCAGTAGTGTTAATACATTCTTACATGTAAGTGTTATATGTATCATCGGCCGTGTAGTTATTTCTTGGCAACATTTGGGGTGTTGGAGTGGGGTCTCTGAAATTAAATGTAAACTTTTAACAGATTTATCTATAAAGTTTCAGCATCTTGGGTTTCCAACTTGATCAAATCGAGGACAATTTTAGGTGAAATGTCACAGGTTTCAACCTTAAACAAATAATTGAGCTCCAATTTGCTAGCTATGGTTGAAGCTTCATAAATAATGATGCAAAGCATTAAATATTTTTAATTATTTTATAAAATATCTACTTTCGAGTCTCTTACAATGTGATCATAGTAAACTGCTCTTAAAATAGCTGAAGAGCCCTCCTCGTATGTCCAACTTCGTTTTTATTTATAATTGAATATTATCTTCACTGAAATTGGCTTATTTTTTTACTATCGTCTGAATGGTATTGAAAGTTTTACAGGAAGAGATAGAATATTTGTGATTTAATCTTGTCTTAACAATTTAGTAATTACATAATCAGCATTATTTTTTGTTCTTTTTTTACAAACACCTGGAGTGCCTTCTTTGAAACATGTTCATTAATTTTGTGTGTGTGTTCTTTCCGGGTGCTTTATACTGCAGCGTTATCATTCCATTGATACATGAATTTCTTTCTTGTTTATTAAATTAATTTTTTATGCAGTAACTATAACCCATTTTCTTGTGAAGAAACTAACCAAATTTTTTTTCTGAAACTTACAAAATGATAAATAACTTTTATTCTTTTATCAATACTTGTATTATAATATTTATCAACAAATGTTATGTATAGCAATGTTAATACATAATGTGACATTTTAAACAAAAACTCGTTCAATCTCTTCTTCTCTTAGCCCTAAGACTTTCTTGAAATGCTGATCACATTTAAATAAAGACTTATAAAGTCTGCAAATTCTAAATGTGCACACCAACTATATACCACTACCACATTTTCTTGTATTTGATTGATTGATTGATTTGTGTGTTTAGAATTTGTAATGAATCAAATGTATATACAGTAACTGAAAATAAGATATTAAAATCAATAGACTATTGCAGCTTTCATGCTTATTTACAAATGTACATTATTAATTTGTTTTCAGGTATAAGGATCACGAGGAAAGAGTTGGGGCCATTGCTAATGAATTGGGTTTCAGTCACGTGTCACTCTCCTCTCACGTCATTCCTATGGTGAAGGTGGTCCCTCGTGGCTTCACTGCTTGCTCTGATGCTTACCTTACACCCCACATCAGATCTTATTTGAAGGTTATTACTTGTCTTGTTCTTACTTCCTAATATGCTTGAGCTATTATATGTGTAATTATTTAATGTGTATGTATGTTTGTATGTAATTATCAAGAGAAGGCACAAAATCAAGAAGATTATATACTACTACCACTAAATTAATGTGTGTAGGTCATCACTTGTTATACTTATTGTATTCATAGACATTTTTTTAAGATATTTAATATATTATTATTCATATATGAAATAGTATCTATAAGTGATAGCAGCATTACTACTGTACTACAAAATCAATAAGGTTTACATATCTTGCATTGTATATTACCAGAATTATTCTGCAAATAAAAAGCTGAATATAAGGCTATGGGTTAAACAAAAAATTGTATCTCTAAGCTTGTAGTTAATAACAGTTTGTAAACAAGCAACATTCCAATCGTCATTGATTTCAACCATTTAGAAAATGGCACAGTAATCCTTTTAAATATGGTATATATGGTACTTTGCAACAGCAATAATTTAATATTGACAGAGTTTAGTCTCATTTAGTCACGGAAATACAACTGTGGGAGAAATGGATTGTACTTCTTTTAATTATTGTTTACACTTTGGAGTGTTGAGTAGCAGAAGTCTTCTGACTGTATGCCTAAAGCTTAGTCATTGATTACTTCTTGTTAGTCATATTCACTCTTTGCTGAATAGCAGATGTTACCAATTAAAGATTGTCAGTCTTAAATTGTATTGTTTCTGCATTACTTGGTATTTTGTCTACTTTGAGGTTAACCACTTGTTAAATAGATTGTTATAAATTTGTCTTAAAGCTGTACTCTATCATGAACAGTCAGACAATATGTTGTTCAGGCACTGGTGTTTCGGGAATCTTTTTAAATGTCCTGCAGAGTATAAGGTGCAAGGAAGGCAGTGTAGAGAACCTCAATCCAACTCTTAAAAGACTTTTCATAGGTACTGTACTTCCTTAAAGATTTGTTCGTATCATCTGTAATGCAGTTCAATCAGTTCAAGCTTTCCTCAAGTTACAATACTTGCTCTGGTCATGTGGGATATGGTAGCATATTTTGCTGCTTGTCTTGGCTATAGAAGTTCAATTTTATGACAGTTTGAGGAGGAGCACTTTAGTGGTTTGAGATTTAAGTGATAGTCATTTGGACTGGGCGGTAGAGTGATGGTCTGGCTTCCTGCAGGTCGACGTTCAATTCCCGACCCTCCAAGTGGTTGGGCATTATTCCTTCCCCCTCCGTCCCATCCCAAATCCTTATCCTGACCCCTTCTCAGTGCTATAAAGTCATAATGGCTTGGTGCTTTCCCTCCCTGATAATTAAAAATTAAGTGATAGGAAACAGAAATCGGAGGAAAAGGGAAGTACAGTATTCCTAATATTATGAGTAGGAAACTAGTGGAATGATCTGGGAGAGGCGGCAGTGAAGACTTCCTACATTCAAATGTAGATATGACAATAAAATGAGGAATAGGTATCATTGCACCTGACAACTAAAAAGTGGTCCCAAGCACTGTAACTTGCACCCCACCTTGACCTACCTTGAGGTTACCTTGAGGTGCTTCCGGGGCTTAGCGTCCCCGCGGCCCGGTCGTCGACCAGGCCCCCTGGTTGCTGGACTGATCAACCAGGCTGTTGGACGCGGCTGCTCGCAGCCTGACGTATGAGTCACAGCCTGGTTGATCAGGTATCCTTTGGAGGTGCTTATCCAGTTCTCTCTTGAACACTGTGAGGGGTCGGCCAGTTATGCCCCTTATGTGTAGCGGAAGCGTGTTGAACAGTCTCGGGCCTCTGATGTTGATAGAGTTCTCTCTCAGAGTACCTATTGCACCTCCGCTTTTCAACGGGGGTATTCTGCACATCCTGCCATGTCTTCTGGTCTCATGTAATGTTATTTCTGTGTGCAGGTTTGGGGCCAGCCCCTCTAACATTTTCCACGTGTAAATTATTATACAGTATATCTCTCCTGCCTGCGCTCAAGGGAGTACAGATTTAGGCTCTTTAGTCGGTCCCAATAGTTTAGGTGTTTTACCGAGTGAATTCTAGCAGTATAGGATCTCTGCACGCTCTCCAGGTCGGCAATTTCTCCAGCTTTGAAAGGGGCTGTCATTGTGCAGCAGTACTCCACTCTAGAGAGCACAAGTGTTTTGAAAAGTGTCATCATCGGTATAGCATCTCTAGTGTGAAAAGTTCTTGTTATCCAACCTGTCATTTTTCTTGCAGTTGTGACGGCTACTTTATTGTGTTCTTTAAAGGTAAGGTCTTCCGACATGAATACACCCAGATCCTTTACATTGCCTTTTCGTTCTATGTCATGATTTGCCTGAGTTTTGTACGTGGTGTCCGTTTTTATATTTTCATTTTTTCCATAGCGCATGAGCTGGAACTTATCTTCGTTAAACACCATATTATTTTCTGTAGCCCATAGAAAGACCTGATCTACATCTGACTGGAGGTTTGCCGTGTCCTCTATGTTGCCTACTCTCATGAAGATCCTAGTGTCATCTACAAAGGATGATACAGTGCTATAGGTTGTGTTCTTGTCTATGTCCGATATGAGGATGAGAAAAAGTACTGGAGCAAGCACAGTACCCTGGGGGACTGAGCTCTTCACGGTTGATGGGCTGGATTTTATTTTGTTGACTATTACACATTGGGTTCTGTTGGTCAGGAAATTGTAGATCCATCTGCCTATTTTTCCGGTAATTCCTTTTGAACGCATTTTATGTGCAATAACGTGCCCTCCCCACAAACATAAATTCGCAAGAGCATGTATATATAAACACATGTACTTTATGTACACAAACAAAAATATAGCATTTCAATATTTTTTTACAATTACATTTGTGCAAATACAATACTGTACTGTATAGCCATAGTGGCTTAGTGTTTTCTTCTGATAATTGCTTGCTTTACTAGTAAGGAAACATTTTAGTTTTAGATTACAGCAACCATGTCAAACATGCGGTTTGCGGGCTGCATGCTACCTTTTGGAAGCACACCTGTGGCCTGCACAAAGGATTCTGTAATTTGTTATATAATATAATAGAAAAATATTCTGCAATAATTTTTATTAAACACTTTAATTAGTTGTTGTGTGTGGCCCTCATGGTAACATAAATGTGACCCATATGGCCTGCGGGGGACCCTCAGTTTGACATGCCTGACTTTATATAATATTTTAATTATAAATTCACAAAACATATTTTGAATAACTATTTAGATGGACCAATTTATATTTTAATGATAACCAAAATTTACTATATTTTTTTATGACAGGGATTTTCTGCTGGTTTCAAGAATCATTTAAAAGGAGTCAATGTTCTTTTCATGCAAAGTGATGGAGGACTAACACAGATGAATAGGTAAGGATATATATATTATCTAAATATATGGGTGGGTGAACACATACACAATATTATGGCAGTAGAACATCCATACTGTCCCAAGACACTGTGTTATGTGTCTCAAATGTGTCCACACATATTGCTCGTATATCCAATGTTTCATGTTCTTTTATGTATATTTACAACATATTTACACACTATACACTATCACACTATATACATTTACCATCAACACACTCAGAACACTGCGAGTGTGAGCTGCCACACCCAGCCAGCCCTCCCTCACTCCTCCAACACCTAGCTTACTCCTTACACCTTACTCGCCAACATTGCTTCTCCCACCATACTGTTATTGTTTTCATTACACTATTTACACACGTTATGTATACATATCTACATGTTTTATTCATCATAACTATGCAAGTAAGCCGGTATTGTGGCCACCATACACTGCATGAGAAATCACACAGCAGCCAGCAGACTACGCTATGAATACGACGCCACCTCCCTCACCAAAATGGCTCCTCCCAGCATGCTGCTGTTGCCGTTATTACACTATATACACACACTGTATATACCCATGTACGTGTGTGTTCACCATAGTGAACCACTAAGCTAGTATGGTGAGCAAAACAAGAGTGGCTGCCATACACAGTGATGCTATCTGGATTCCCTCCCTCCCTCCCTCACCAAACTTCCTCTCCCACAATAATACGCACAGTGCTAATTATCACCACAATCCTACTATTATCACAATCCTGGTCACTAAATCCTGTAAATGAATAATTGACCAAAAGTTTATTTTGTAAAGTAACATATGAAGTCGTTTGAAGATTCCTAGATGGATGAAATAATGCTGTTGTGCTGTGGCTAACATTGATTCACTGATAAGATCCCAGAGGCGCGTTGTGCACCCACCGTCGAGCGCCTGCAGGTGCGTTGCGCAGTCCAGTGGTTAATCGACTGTGCCACGACATGGTTAAAAGAATTGCAACCGGGAGTTCTACTTCCCTCACACAAATCCTGCGGTCTCTTCGAGACAAACCAGGGTTTCACACAATTCCCCCATGCACCCAGGATCTGTCAATAAGCTGTTCTACCTCTTTGCCCTTACTTCATTACACACTCGCTCACACTCACTCTCACTCTCACTCTCACACTCACTCACTCACTCACTCTGCAGGATCTGTGTGAGGGCAGTAGAACTCCTGGTTGCAATTCTTTTAACCATGTCGTGACACAGTCGATTATGGCGCTTCTGGGATCCTCTCGGACGTAGGTTTGAACCCTCATCACAGCCCTTATGGATTTGTTCATTTGATTCATCACACTATTGTGATTTCTGTGTGTAATTAGTGAAGTCTCTTTACATATAAGAGACTTCTATATATAAAATAAAATAGCAAATTAAAGAGGGCATACTTAGAGCAAGAATTGCTTCATTTCTGAAAAATGATATGTTTGTGGGCAAATTACCGTTTGTTACTACTGCATTATCAAATACACACAGTTGTGTTTAGCAATGTTTTGCAGAATTTTATTTGGTATTCATCCGAGCCCAAAATTACAACAAATTCGGTACTTTTGTTCCGCAGGTTCATTGGGTCTCGAGCTATTCTCTCGGGACCTGCGGGTGGTGTTGTTGGCTATGCTATGACCAGTTATAAGGATCTTGGTTGCCAACCTGTCATTGGATTTGACATGGGAGGAACGTCTACTGATGTGTCTCGTTATGCTGGTGAATATGAGCATGTATTTGAAAGCACAACAGCTGGCGTAACTATTCAGGCTCCACAGGTGAGAGGATTTTGTAGAATATATATATATATATATATATATATATATATATATATATATATATACACATATATACACATACATATATACATATATACACATACATATATACACACATATACATATATACATACACATACATATATACATACACATACATATATACACACACATACATATATACACACACATACATATATACACACATATACATACATACATACATACATATTCATTCATTTTTAAGTTGCATATAAGAAGTATGTGACTGAGGTGTTGTATAATGTTTAATGACTAATTGTGGAACTAATAAAAATCAGTCATTGAGTATAATTAAAAGCTTTCTGAGCAGTCCACTTAGTTGCTTCCTTAGGTAAGATTGTGCTCTTCCAAACAGCATCACTTGGAAAACAAAAAAAGCAATGCTTGATACTACGAACACCAGAGTTTGAAATGCAGTAATTGGAATGGGTTAGATGATTTTTTTTTTTTTTTTTTTTAATACATGAGGTACATCTGCATTTGTGCAGCTACCCTAGACTATATGAAGTGAAGTACAGTGTGTCAAAAAAGCTAACTACGTGATGCTAAAAAATATCCCCATCACACAGGATGGTTAGTTATACAGAGGCATGTGAAAGGCAGTCTGCACTGGTAGACTCCGGATGCATTTTGAGGATATCATCAATACAAGAGTGAATAAGGTAGCAGTAGTAATAAAAGTCCCCATCTCGCAGAATGGTTTGTCATACAGGGCCATATGTTTAGTAGCTTGCACTGGCAAATTTTGGGTACACTGTGAGGATATCTTCAAGAATACGAGAGTGAATAAAGTAATTGCAAAGCTCCAGGTACCTCATGCCAACTGGTCTGAAACGTCTAATAACTGGGCATTCGGTGATGTAGTGTGGGAGATCATGCCATAGTTCCTGCTCACAGAGTTTGCACCTGGAGTGCTCAGGATTGGGAGATCAGTCACCTGTAGCCACCTGCCACAGGTAACGGTAACCCAACCTGATCCTTACAACCACTGTCGTACAGTCTGGTGGACGTTTTGTGCTGCCCATAGATATAGGTTTCAGATCTGAACAAATCATAGCTTTTTATTAGTACTTTCAGGTCGTTGGGCGTCGGTAATTTCTTTCCTATCAGACCTGAGTGTTTGGACCAATACAGTTTTGACAGTAGAGATGGGGGATACCTAGATCTAATTCAACTTCATTTTCGTTGCACGCTAATTTGGCTGCAATGTCTGTCTCATTATTATGGGTTATATTTACGTGTGAAGGTGGGTTAGATGAAGAAGTGATTGAAGCTAACTCGGTACATAACTTTAAATATAAAAAATAATACTGCATAAAAATGGAAGCATTGAACTAAATTTTGGAAGGCAAGGCTGTGCCTTCTCTGTGTAGTTAATACCTGACTGCAAGTACAGTACAACTCGGCAAGTACACACAGTCGCCCAGAACTCTCTCTCAAAAAAAAAAGGTTAGGCTGACTGTATCTACCTGGAACAAAAAAAACAAAAGGCGTTGGACAGTCCGACACAAGAGGCCATTCTGGAAGCTAGAACACAAAGATGGGGTGGCAAGCATGTTACTGACTTTCATGAAATATTCTCTAATGGGAAAAAAAAGAGAAGTAATTAGAGGTAATGTATCAGATTGGGAAATGCACTAGTTGAGTATTGTAAGGTTTAGTTTTTGTACCAGTAATGTTCATTGTCTATATAAATAATCTGCTAGGGAGAATTCAGTTACATGAATATGTTTGCAGATCGTGCTAAGTTGTTGCTAAGAAGAGTAAGACTTTGATGATTGTCATGCCTTTCAAAGTGACATCGATTTTGCAGATTTAAAAAAATTCCTGGTTATGTTTTGTATTTGGTCATAGTCATATATTTCCTGTGCCTAATAGGTGTGGTATATGTAATACATCCAGCGACTTCTCATAGTTCTTCTTTAGATCCAAGAGCCATTTAGTAACATCTTTGCACCTTTTCTAGTAAACTGATGTGATTTCTGATACATGAACACCATACAACTGCCAAGTATTCTAGTTTATGGGTTGCAGCCGATTTTGCTGCTGATGCCGCTTTTTGAAGCCAAATTCCAGGGTGCCCTTTTATTGAAGCCTGCTTATTACAGCTTTCTTGTCTTTCATGTGGTTAAGCTTTGCCAGCCCATGGAATTACTCAATATTTCTGAGGCAATATGAGGATCCTGGGATTTCTGGTACTCCAACCGAGTGTTAGTAGCATTATCTTTCCTAATTCTAGCTTGGCTTCATCGACTGTGTGTGTGTGGTGCTGGGCTGTGTCCATTATGTCTGAGACTTGTACTATTGTTGCACCTGGGTCCTGGGTTCAGGGCTTTTGACCTGGTCAATTCCATCCTCCTTTCATTTGTTTAAATATTACAATTTTTGTGATCTTTTGTTATGTACATGAATTTCTTTTGAGTGAGGTGCCATAGTGAGGAAGTACAGAGAAGCTACTGGTGGGGCTGTCCAGAAATAGAGCACTGATTGTAATAAAATGCTCCCTTTCTTAAGCACTGCCAGTAGCTCCCCTTTCCTACCCTGCCCTGTAGCAGTAAGTTGGGTTTGGGCTCGGGAGTGGGATGCTCTCCTTATCTGGAAATGGTTTAGGCTAGGCTGCCTCCTGGTGCCAAAGGGAAAGTCAGAAAGTTGTTGCATATACCTCTTTGATAGTTGTCAGGGATATTGTTTTGGAAATTCAGCACTCTCTGAACAATTTCTTGGATGAATTTTGAGTTCCATATGGCTACTTTCAATGTTTAAAGGGCTCCTACTTTCAGCGCTTTTAGGGCCCTACTTTCAGTGCTTTTAGGGCCCTACTTTCAGCGCTTTTAGGGTAGTTTGCCTTGGTATTGGGTAGATCCTTGATCTCCAGAGTGAGGCTGGTTGACTAGTCTGACCAGTAATGGCCAGAGTATAAGCACAGTGGTACTACTCGTAGAAAGGGGCATTTCATTATTCTTAGCACTTTTTTTTTTTATGGGCTGATGCTTCTACACCTCGTGAAAGTGGGAACTGTGCAAGGATACTGTATATGTGTGTACTCCTGGTACTTAAAAAAAAATAGTTTTGCAAAGGTTTTTATTTTTATAAAAAGATTGAATACTGTACAGATGTGAATATTGGTATAATTAAGAGGAAGGCATAAGGAAATCAAAAGTTTGAATTTTACTTTTGCTTTTATTACTTTTTGTATTAATATAGATTTATTTGAAGCTGGTATAAGCAGTAAATATAAAATAATATACTGTATTTAATTTTACTCAGTTAGATGTGAATACTGTGGCAGCTGGTGGTGGATCTCGGCTATTCTTTCGCTCAGGAATGTTTATTGTTGGGCCAGAGTCTGCTGGAGCTCATCCAGGTGAGATTGTTGGCGAGATATAACCATTAATCTTTATACACAATTCGTGTAACCTGAAAAATCTGTGGGATTCATTTTTATGAATATGCTGTACAATCTTACTAAGTTCCCAAACTTCTGAACTGAATTTTTTTTTATTTATTTATTTACTGTATATACAAGATTTCTTACATTCTTGTATAGCCACTAGCATACATAGCATTTCAGACAGGGGACCACAACCATAGTGTTTTGGTATCTTTGGCAATCGAGACCAAACGTATCACAATACGAAGGTTTCTTTATGGTATTGTTAATTATGATCAGTGGGTGAATGGTCAGTCTTCCAAAATTGGAATCTCCAGAGAAAATTTGGCTTGACAGGCTGAAGTAATAATAAATCTTTGAGAATCTTATATGAATATCTATGTTTTCTGGGGGGAGCCCCGTCGACTCCCTGGAGCTTTCCAGGCTGATATGCTAATGTCAGACATTAGCATCAGTCATGTGTGTGGAGTTCTGTGGGCCTACTGGGGACTACGAGCCAGAACCTGGCCCCCCCCCCCTCAAATGAGACAAGGGGAGCAATGGCCTATAGAAACCCCCGTATGGTTGGAAGCATTCTATGTCTGCCATCGACCGACTTGCAAGATTTATGTTGCTCTATTGTCAAAGCCAAGAGGACTTGTTATATAAGACCTTCCCATTTGAAAACCATACTGTCTGTAAATACTTCGTTTCTTTCTGGGTATTCTTCCCAGTTGATTTTAGTGTAATTGCTTTTTCTAGGGATTTTGTTACAATGCTTGTTATGATCTGTAATTTAGTGTCTTCTTCCTTATGTCCATGAAGTTTGTTGTTTGTAAGGATGTTTGGAAAACACGAAGTTGGGGGTGCTAATCTCGGATTCACATTCGCTCGGAACCTAAGGTGAAACCTCTGGCCTGACTGCTTTATTTTTGTCTTGTCTCCTTGTGCAGTTTATTTACCTTGTCTCTAGGCCTTTCTAGGTACTATGTTGGGCTTGAAAGTTATTGTGGCAGGTTGACTGAAAAATCTCCTTCACACTGGAACTGTTTGTTAAGAGGGAGTGGGTCTACTATATATATATCAATTAATGAGGAGCACTGTGCAGTCTTACAAAGTAATTGGAGTTGCTGCTATGAGTGATGCTATGGTGTGTTGATGCTTGGCTACACTTTGTATTGTGAATGATACAATGAATAGACTAGAGAGTTAATTCTTATTATTGTATCTTTAACTCTTATGCTGCTATGGGCTTAAATGCCTTCAACACCACCAGGTGCAACAAAAAAATTCCACAGTTATTTTTAGTCTTACAAAAGTGTTATGTTCCCTGACCACACGGAAAAAAAAAATCGTAGGTGACGTATTTTTGCCGCAATAGGGCAAGACAGTCTGTCAAAATGTAGGTGTTGACAGCAAGCGTCGGAGGCAGTCTCCTCTGCCCAAGCTGTCAGGCGGGAGTTGCCACAAAGATATTAATACCTAATTATAATTATTTCAATGATTGATTTTTCCTAGCTTTTTGCAGTAATATTTATTAAATAGTGTGTAGTGTGATATATTTATATAATAAAATGTTTGAATCATTTCTGTACTCAAAATTATGGTGTACATATGAGCGATTCAATTATGTTCATAAAACAATAAACAGATAGTTTTGCTGTAATTACACTATATACACACAGGTTTTATATAAGTATCTGCATGTCTTGTTCACCATAATGAACTCTTAAGTTGGTATGGTAAGTCGTAACAACGATGAGTAGCCACCACACGCTAGCCAGCAAACGCCGCCACCTTCCCTCTATCACCAACTCCTCACTCGCTAACACTCCTCCTCCCACCATACTGTTTTTGGTTTTATTCACTATATACATATGTTATATATTAGTATCTATATGTTTTGCTCACCATAACTGTACAACTAAGCTGGTATGGTGAGTTCAGACAATAACAGAGGTCGCCACACAGTCCCTGATGCTGCCTCCCTCCCTCACTCGTTCAAGGCCCGACGCACTAACATTCCTCCTCCAACCATACTGTTTGTGGTGTTATATATAATGTGTATATATAGTGTAATAAGTATCTATATGTTTTATTATCCATAACTGTATAACTAAGCTGGTATGGTGCCCAAAGAGCATAGTGGCCACCCTTACACAGGTTGACAAGTCATGCAGATGACTCCACCTCCCTCACCAAAATGGCTCCTCCCAAGATACTACTTTTGCTGTTATTACACTAATGCACATATTATATATAAGTATCTACATTTGTGTTCACCATAGTGAACCACTAAGCTGGTATGGTGAGTGCAAACAATAAAGGGTGGCCACATACAGTCAGTAGACGAAGCTACCTTCCTCCCTCCCCTCGGCATTACACCTCAAACCATACTACGCACAATGCTAATTATCACCACAATCCTGCTATTATCAGAATCCTGGTCAGTTTTATCAGTCAGGGGTCTTCTATAATACTATCATTGCTAAATAATAGCAGTTACATATATATTTTGACATTTTTAGGCAATGCTGTGGTCACAAGCTGAACAATAGTGCTGTTAGCTCATGCTGAGCGCCAGCCTTGGTGGCTCACTCATTACTGAGACACTCACACCCGAGAATGTTACCCATGATTTTGTTTCAAAAATGGCGTCTGTTTACAAGAGACCTGAGGAAGCTGATGTAAACCCTGTGTAGCCGCCGGACATTTAAATCGTGCGCTGGACCCTCAATCGCCTATGTATGATGAGCGCATTGTAGTGCAGGTTACTCCCATTGCCTATGTGAGTATTACACAGCTTAAGGTTAACACTCATATTATTTTGCTTTTTTTTTTCTCTGGGCTTTGTGTATATCTACATGCACTAAAGAAATGCTTGTTAATTAATTATTACTATTACTGTAATATTTATTTTATTTATCTTCTAATGCCAACCAATATCTTATTTGACTTAGAACCCCAACATTTCTAAAACTGTGATAGAGTGCCTCTGAAAATATTGGGATTCCATCAATGCTAGGAGGAGCTTTCACTTTCAGATACTTCAGCTATATTAAAGTTTCATTTGTCTATTTAGAGTACTGTTGTATTGAATTCAAAAGAAAGTTGTTCATTTTAATGTTTATCATGACATCATTGTTGTTTTTAAGACTATCCCCTAAGAAGAATATTAAATTCCTCTCTCCTACCACTACTTTTGTGGTTCTTGTTCTCAGGGACTTGAGCTGATCAACTTGAGGCATTTCTTTTGTTTATACACAAATATGTATACTAATTAAATATCTGCTTATAAATATGGATCTTTGATTTTTTCAAAACTATTTAATTGTGGTCTTCAGGTCCAGTATGCTACAAAAAGGGTGGTTTATTAGCTGTTACTGATGCAAATCTGGTTTTGGGTCGGCTCTTACCACAATACTTCCCAAAGATATTTGGTCCCAAAGAAAATGAACCACTTGATAAAGAAAGTTCAATGGAAGCTTTCAAAAAATTGGCCGATCAGGTAAGAAATCTTTTCTTGCTTAAAATGGTATGAAATGCTTTTGGATGATTCTTCAAAATTCTTTATGGATGATGTACCCAAATGGAACAAGGTACAGCGTCTAGAATATTTTAACTGTCGCCATACAATGCAATACATGGAAAAATATTCTACACTAGCAACTCTTAGTTATATATTTAACAGACTTCTCATTATATAAACCAGTCTACTTTTTCTTTCTTTGCTACGAATCCCCATAGTAGTAGTATACCTAATGATTTTGCTACATTGGTAATGATATTCATAATCTTTCATTCTAGGTGAATAGCTATGACTCTGATATTAAGAAAAGTCTTGGTATAGAGGAAATAGCAATGGGCTTCATTCGTGTTGCTAATGAAGCCATGTGTCGACCAATCAGAGCTCTCACACAGGTATGTATGTTGATTGATGTTACTGATAATGAAATGAAATTGATTAAGGTTTGAAGGAAAAAGACATGATGAGATATTATAATCTTACATATATTTGATATTTTATTAAGATGGGAAGCAGTAAAAGTTCATTAAGGCACTTCTTTACTGGGCAACTTGCTCAGTAGCTACCATATGGTGATGCACTGGTTAATATTGTCAAAAACAGCCAACTCCAGGCATCTGGAAGACACTTGCCTTCTGCAGACAAAGGCCTCTTCCTTACCCCTTTCTATGGCATTCATTTTTCAATTTATTTCTTTATTATGCACCCCATTCCCATCCTATGGGCGGTGGTGGAAAGGATTACAGAGGCACCTAATCAATTCAGAAACTGAACCCCATAGTTCATTTAGCTAAGCAAGTGACAGTCTTGTGAAGTTACACAATTTTTAATATTACTTACACATATATGTACACAAATACATATATCAATAATCTTTTTATATCACAAGTGATTCAACAAGAGGCTCACAAGTCACTGTACAAGGCACTTTACATCTATGGTGTCACACAGTCTTGTTCCACACCCATCCAACTGCGCGGCAGCTTTAAAGTCATGTGGAGGCTGCACCTACAGTAAGCAAATTTGGGATATTTTGCTAAGATTCCTGGCAGTACATCATTATGAATGAAGTACAGTACTTACACATTTCTTGGACTCCACTGCAGAGGAGCACTTGTTCATTTACTTGAGCCTTGATAATTGCCAAGATCCATTAGTGTGGTGTTTTGAACTAGTGAACTGTTTTGAAGTTATCATTTGGGTGTACTGCAAATGAATTCAAAAGCAGTAAATAGAGAAGCAGGTGGAAGGAGTTCAGCACTATGCAACAGTTTTTTAGACAGCACCACACTATCTGTACCAAGTGAGGTTTCTGATCTCTCAGTATGTGTACAGTATATGCTGGGCTCAGTGGAATGAGTTGTTCCAGATGGTATTTGCCCATTTGCTAATTTCCATCATAACTAGATATGGCTGTGTGTGGTTGTTAGATCCTGATCCCTGCAATGTATTGCCGGGTCATCTACATATGAAGAATGAGGAGTAGTGTCCTGAACCTATAACTTTGTTTCAAAACTATTAGAACAACAAAATAGTTTGGAATGAACAATATCAAATTATATCTTTCATGTGCAATCTATCAACATGTCTTACATTTCAGCCATTAGTTAATGAAAATTTTTCATGTGTTGAGAGGTTTGATGCTTCTGTGGTTTACTATTTTAGCTAGTGTGACATCTACTTCTTGATGATAAATTATAATTATAATTTAGCTAATAAAACATTAATTAAATTTACAAAGTGAATCTGTTTGGAAGAACTGTCTGTACTAAATATTTTGTTTAAATGGGAATGAAAAGCTAAATACCGACTTCAGGGTATTTATACCTAAATTTATTTTTGTCTACACACGTGCAAGTTCAATACAAAAGACATCAAAATGCTGTACTGTATTGCTAGAATACTGTATAAATAGATAGAAGGCATTTAAATTTGCTTATTTACAAAAGTAATGGGGGATAGGGCTAGTTGTTTGTATATTTCTAGATAATTATTTTAAAGTTAAAGCAGTGCACTGTGTGTCTAATCTCAGGCAAAGGGACATGACACATCACATCACGTGCTAGCTGTATTTGGCGGAGCTGGTGGCCAGCATGCGTGTGCTGTGGCACGAGCACTGGGAATGCAGACTGTAATGATCCACAAATATGCTGGGATTCTTTCAGCATATGGGATGGCTCTTGCAGATGTAGTACATGAAATACAAGAACCATGTTCTAAAACCTATGAATCAGGTAGGATCATGTTCATTAGTTAATTACCCTACTTGTGTTTACCTTTCTCTTTCAGTAATCAAATTTAGTACATGTTTACTCACAGATACAGTTATAAATTTTTCCATATTCTAAAGTATCCAAAGTACATTTCATTCACCTTGGCTGTATGGACCCCACGTGTGTGAGGCTGATCCTCTATTGACTGGGCTATGAGCAGTCTTGATATTTATTTCCATGGAAGTGTGGATGACAATTTTTATCTAAAGTACATGTAGTTACTGATAAATGCCCAAACATATTTCAGGTAAACATATTTCTGATTCCTTTTTTTATATGTGGTGTGAAGTTGTGTTTATGCTTATCTTACTACAATATCTGTGCACTGTTTGGACCAGACTTCAAAATTTTTTTTAGTACCAAAATTTGTTTTTAAGGCTTACCAAATAATGTGACAAAGGGAAGGCTCTATACAAATACGGCTACCAGTAGACTAGACTACCAGTGAAATAAAATAGTTTAGGATTGTAATAAAATAGATAGGAATACATGTGATGTTGAAGACATGGGAAAATTACGCAAAATACATAGATTTCACAAATGTGTTTAAAGAAACTAGCTGAACAAAGACACTGAAGATATAAAAAATGGAGATATAGATTGAGTGGCCTAGATTCAGTAGTAGGCTGATGATAATCTCGTGTACAGTATGTACTGTATTTTGGGTCTTGTATTATAGTTAACTTTGTTCTCGACTTGCAATCGGGGCTCCCGAGTTCAATTCCTGTGCGGGACAGAAATAGTTGGGTATCTTTCCTTTCACCTAATGCTTCTGTTTACCTATCAGTAAATAGGTACTGTACTTGAAGTTGGACAATTGTTGTAGGGTTGCATCTCTAAGTCAGTAGTTTTGCTTTGGGGGGGACCTCGATACAAGCATAAGGTGTGTATATACAGTATATATACACGGGCTTCCTGCCCCTGACAAAATGAATTACCGGGTATGTCTACCTGCTCATTCACATTGGTAAAATGCAACAGGTGTATATGCATATGAAGATTTGTTATCTTGCTATAATTTTGTAAACGTTGAGGATGATCACACTTTAAGGGATAAATGAGGTTGCTGGCTCCCTCAGCTCTTTTAGGGTTACTAGTTCTACCATCCGGTGGTGGACGGTGTAGCTGCTCATTACTTATTCAGAATTAGTGCAATGAAGGTGAACACTGGTATTGCAAGGAAAAGTAATTATCACTAAGTGGTGTTGAGAGGATTGTTTGTTCTTTTCTCTTATAGCACGTAGTCACTCGATGATAGTGAGACACACACCATGGTCCCTGCCCTAACTATGTTATAATTTGAAGATGTGTCACAGTAATGTGGCTGAAGATATGATGACCAGACCACACACCAGAAAATGAAGAGACGATGATGTTTCGGTTCGTTCTGGACCATTATCAAGTCGATTGTGATAGTGGTCACAATTGACTAGATAATGGTCCAGGACAGATCGAAATGTTGTCGTCTCCATCTTCTGGTGTGTGGATTGGTCATCATACATTATAATTTATGTTGGGGGACAGGCACAAATATGCGAGTACACGCACTCGCACACACGTGAAGATGCAGTGCTCTTGAAAAATAGGTGAGATAACAGGAAGTGCTAAGGGAAGTGAAAAATCGGATGAGAAAAAGTTGCCCTAGTGTTTACAGTGCAGAGAAGAACATTCAAGATGGCCACTGGCAAGGGGAAAAACAAAACAGAGCTTGATTTTGAGGGATTCAATGAAGAAAGCATTGATATTAGCAGTCTACATAACAAGTTGGTAAATTTAGATACTATAGTGAACTCTCATGTAGAAATAATTAGTAAATTGAAAGAAAGTAATGACCATTTGAATAGCAAAGTTTTATGTCTTGAGGGTTTAGTGAAAGACTTGCGCAAGGATAAGAATCAATTGGAAACAAATTGCAAAGCCATGGAAGAAGAAAATAAACTCTTAAAAATAGCTTTGGAAGAAGTTAAAGTAAATTTAAACATAAATGACTACAATAGGTTAGGCAAGGAAATTCAACAGGAGAAACAGCTTTTGTCAGCACAGATGGAGGAAGTTACACAGGGAATAGAACAGTGCAAGAAAGATATGCAACTCACTTATGCACAAGTGGCCAAGGAGAAGGAAAAAATAGAAGAAGCAGTAAAGGAAGTCAAACACTGCAGCAACCAAGATAAAACAAACATTAGGCTAGAAGTGAGGAAAGAATTGGCATCTAACCCGAAGTTGGTGCAAAACACAGTTGATCGGAGTAAGTCCCTGATCATTTTTGGCTGCAAAGAAAAGGCGATAACATCTAGGTCAGAAAGAGCTGTAGAAGAAGCTAAAGTAGTAGATAAAATTGTTGGCCTCGTGGAAGGTCTTACAAACAGAGAGAATGTGTGCGACTACAGGAGAATAGGCAGGTACGTAAAAGGGAAAGATCGACCTTTGAGGATCACCCTAAACGGTGCCAAACAGATGGAAGAAGTACTAAGGAATGCTAGAAAATTGCAAAGGGATGAGGATGGGAAAGGGTGGTCGTTAAGACGAGATCTTTCAAAAGAAGATAGAGAGAAGCTGAAACTGAACCTCGCCGAGGCAAAACATTTAAATGAGAGCAGGAATGAAGAAGAAATAAATTCTTTTTTCTACAAAGTGATAGGGGTAGGCAAACCAGTAAAGTGGTACATAAAGGCAAACCAACAAAATCAATAGAGAGAGGGGGAGTGAAGAATAAGGAGAGGGGGAACAAGTTCCTGAAGATTGCATACACCAACATAGATGGAGTGAGATCGAAGATACTGGAGTTAAGTGATGTAATACAGCTGCAGACACCAGACATTGTTGCACTCACGGAGACAAAACTTGAAGATGTAATTTTAAATGAGGTCATATTCCCAAGGGGCTACTCAATTTGGAGACGGGACAGAAAAATTAGGAAAGGCGGTGGCGTTGCTGTGCTGGTAAAAGAACACCTAAAGGTGAAGGAAATAATGACTGCCAATCCACAAGAAGTTGACATAATAGCACTAGAGATCTGCTATGAGGATGATAAACTAATGATGATAAATGCATATAGTCCACCGCCAAGCAGCACATGGTCAAAGGAGGAGCTAGATAGTAAACGTGAAGGTCTTATAACAATAATGAGAGAGATTATAGCGAGAGCGGATAACGATAGATCACGACTGTTGATAGTCGGTGACTTCAACTTGAAATCCATAGACTGGGAAGCATATGAAGCTAAAACAGAAGATTTTTGGACCTGTAAATTTGTAGACCTCATCCTGGAAACATTCTTGTATCAACATGTTAAACAAGCTACGAGGATGAGGGAAGGGGACGTTCCCTCCATGCTAGATTTGATATTTACCAGGAAGGAGGAAGAGATATTTGACATTCAGTACCTTCCTCCCTTGGGTAAAAGTGACCATGTCTTTTTGGGAATAAAGTATGCAATGCGTTATAAGCTGGAAGAAAATAAGGAGGTTGAAGCAGTTGAAAAACCAGACTTCAGGAGAGGACATTATGGTGACCTTAGAAATTTTTTTAGTGAGTATAATTGGACAGACTTGATGCTAGGCAAGGAAGTGAATGAGATGTATGGCAAGTTTTGTGAAATATATGATAAAGGCACAAAAAAATTTATACCAAAACAGAGATGCAGAACTAGGAAACAGGATTGGTTCAATAGAAATTGCGAGAGGGCTAGAGACCGAAAGACACAAAAATGGAATCAATACAGGAAGAGGCCGAACCCCCAAACATACCAGCGATACAAAGATGCGAGAAACAACTACACGGCAGTGAGGAGAGAGGCAGAAAGAAATTTTGAAAAAGGGATTGCGGACAAATGTAAAACAGAACCAGGTCTATTCTATAAATTCATAAACAACAAATTGCAGGTAAAGGATAATATTCAGAGGTTGAAAATGGGAAATAGATTCACGGAAGATGAAAAGGAAATGTGTGAAACACTAAACGAAAAGTTCCAAAGTGTGTTTGTACAAAATGAAATCTTTAGGGAACCAGATACAATAAGAATTCCAGAGAACAACATAGAACACATAGAGGTGTCTAGAGACGAAGTGGAAAAAATGCTCAAGGAGCTCGGTAAGAACAAAGCAGCTGGCCCAGATGGCGTTTCACCATGGGTTCTGAGAGAATGTGCATCTGAGCTCAGCATTCCACTTCACCTGATCTTTCAGGCATCCCTGTGTACAGGAATCGTAGCAGACGGGTGGAAACAGGCTAACATAGTTCCAATCTACAAAAGTGGCAGCAGGGAAGACCCCCTCAATTATAGACCTGTATCATTGACAAGTGTAATAGTGAAAGTATTGGAAAAACTAATCAAAACTAAATGGGTAGAACACCTAGAGAGAAATGATATAATATCAGACAGACAGTATGGTTTTCGATCTGGAAGATCCTGTGTATCGAATTTACTCAGTTTCTATGATCGAGCCACAGAGATATTACAGGAAAGAGATGGTTGGGTTGACTGCATCTATCTGGACCTAAAAAAGGCTTTCGACAGAGTTCCACATAAGAGGTTGTTCTGGAAACTGGAAAATATTGGAGGGGTGACAGGTAAGCTTCTATCATGGATGAAAAATTTTCTGACTGATAGAAAAATGAGGGCAGTAATCAGAGGCAATGTATCAGAATGGAGAAATGTCACAAGTGGAGTACCACAGGGTTCAGTTCTTGCACCAGTGATGTTTATTGTGTACATAAATGATCTACCAGTTGGTATACAGAATTATATGAACATGTTTGCTGATGATGCTAAGATAATAGGAAGGATAAGAAATTTAGATGACTGTCATGCCCTTCAAGAAGACCTGGACAAAATAAGTATATGGAGCACCACTTGGCAAATGGAATTTAATGTTAATAAATGTCATGTTATGGAATGTGGAATAGGAGAACATAGACCCCACACAACCTATATATTATGTGAGAAATCTTTAAAGAATTCTGATAAAGAAAGAGATCTAGGAGTGGTTCTAGATAGAAAACTATCACCTGAGGACCACATAAAGAATATTGTGCAAGGAGCCTATGCTATGCTTTCTAACTTCAGAATTGCATTTAAATACATGGATGGCGATATACTAAAGAAATTGTTCATGACTTTTGTTAGGCCAAAGCTAGAATATGCAGCTGTTGTGTGGTGCCCATATCTTAAGAAGCACATCAACAAACTGGAAAAGGTGCAAAGACATGCTACTAAGTGGCTCCCAGAACTGAAGGGCAAGAGCTACGAGGAGAGGTTAGAAGCATTAAATATGCCAAAACTAGAAGACAGAAGAAAAAGAGGTGATATGATCACTACATACAAAATAGTTACAGGAATTGATAAAATCGACAGGGAAGACTTCCTGAGACCTGGAATTTCAAGAACAAGAGGTCATAGATTTAAACTAGCTAAACACAGATGCCGAAGAAATATAAGAAAATTCACCTTCGCAAATAGAGTGGTAGACGGTTGGAACAAGTTAAGTGAGAAGGTGGTGGAGGCCAAGACCGTCAGTAGTTTCAAAGCATTATATGACAAAGAGTGCTGGGAAGACGGGACACCACGAGCGTAGCTCTCATCCTGTAACTACACTTAGGTAATTACACTTAGGTAATTACACAATAATTTATCATGGATATACAGTATTTGTCATGCCAGAATTCAACATTATCTAGTAATAATAATTTCCTGACATATTTTCCAGCACACTTCCTTTATCTGGATTCCCGACTTGAAGCATTGGAGAAAGAATGTATTGACTCCCTGAAGATGCAGGGATTTTCTTCCACAAATATTGTTTGTGAAGCATACTTGAATCTTCGTTATCAAGGAACAGATTGCGCACTCATGTGCACAGCTGTAAAAGATGGGCTGATGGGCAAAAATAATGCATGCAGTTATGGTGATTTCAAAAAGGCTTTTGTAGAAAGGTTAGTATTATATTGTGTGTGTGCAATTACCTAAGTGTAGTTACAGGTTAAGAGGTATGCTGCTTGTGTCTCATCTTCATTATAATCTGTATCATGGTTTTGGCATCCTAGATGCATCAAGACCTTGGATGCTTTTTTGTTGCCCTTAAGTTGTTTCATCCGTCACAACTGTTTTTTTGTTTTTTTAACTGTTGAATTCTAGTATAGCAACAAGTGCTTTATCTTCCATTATTGTGCTCCACAGTACAGTACACATCATATAAACGGAGAAATATAGTCTGTATCTTTTCTGTTTCAATGCAGTACTACATTCATTAACTTTTATTGATTGTTTCAGGTACAAGAGAGAATTTGGTTTCATCATTGATGACAGACAAATAATTGTGGATGATATTCGAGTTCGAGGAATTGGAAAGTCAATGATACAAATAGATGAAAAAGTATCACATGCTGAAGGAGAACCAAAGGTAGAAACTGTAAGTATTTTGTTGCTCTTTGTTTTTTTTTTTGTTGGGGAAACCTTGTGTAGCATTTATATCCCCTTGTCTAGAATTATGAGCATTGATGCTCTTTGGCACTTCATTGTCATCATGTACGAGGTAATGTATGAGGCGTGTACATTTTATTTTAATAGATAATCTTGCAAGTTGTTTAATATACTATATGGTAACTTTACAGGTAACAGGTGTCTTCTTTGAAGATGGCTGGTTAGAGACTAAAGTGTACATGTTGTCATCTTTGGCATTTGGACATACTATAGTTGGACCAGCCATTATCATGGACAAGTTGTCAACTATATTGATTGAGCCAGGTTTGTGCATTTTGTTTACTTTCTCATATATTATATTTAGGTTAATGGTGTGAATTGCCATGTATGAGCACTGGATCCTAGTTAAGTAAAATTAAGAATCATTACATTTTGAGTCTGCTTTGGTGGTTGACTAACATATCCTGTTGCAAATGACTGCTTAGACATATTTTTCAGCTTACATTTCTGACACTGTTCTCTCTGCAAAATCTTCTTATCCATTAGTGGGTGGCATTTTACAGAATCACCCCAAGTTACATTTCTTAAAATACCTGCCAAAGTAAAAGTACAATTGACAAATTTGTCCAAACATTTTTTGTGTAGATTTTGCTGTTGAGGGAGGCAGGTGGCACTTGCATGTACAGTACAGTGGGACTTCAGTTAACTAGCTGACAACTTAGTTTTCTCTGGTTAACTGGCAGTAGAAACAATTTGGTTTTGTATGTGAATTTGCAAGAATAATGTGGGATAAATTAAAGAAAATATTTGTGAGCATATAGAGTAACCGTTTTGGATACTCATTTGAATTAAATACTGTAACACAAAAATAAACTGGCACAAATATTTCTCCATCTTATTAACACTTTCGCCCGGGCATGACGCAGCATTGCGTCATCCGTTAACTGTCGGTAATACCGGGGATGACGCAGCATTGCGTCATCCACTTTAAATAATCGCCAAAAATCGGGGTTTTATCCAATTTTTTGGGGACTGGTTTTAAAATGTGCGCCGATGTCTTCCCATTTTCTTTGTGAAGCCTCGTGGCCCTCAGGTGGCTTGGCACATGCCGTGGGCCCATTGTTTTCGCTCCACTGTTGTGACCAATGTCGCCTCCCCTCGCATCTCAAACGTGTGAACATTTCAGCTATTTTCCGTGGCTATATTTCTTACTGCAGCTTTAGAAACTATCTACCCTTACTCCACGATGGATAGTGATCATGAACAAGGCCCTTCCAGGAAGAAAATTGCGAAAGAAAGGCTTGAAAAGGGAGGGAATTGGTAGTGTAGCTGGAAGGCGTCTGAGCACTCACTCCCGGCTAACGGGTGGCCCTTCTTCAACTCGTCGGCGGTTGGAGCGTGACCAGGTTTTATATTTTATATGCTAATGTTTCTCTAGAGAATTCTATTGCGAACCCATTGAGACCAAAATGAAAGACCTAGGACAAAAATTGAGGTGACCAGAGTGAAAATAGTGAAAACATTTTATCGCGTTTGCGCGCTCCTGGGTAACTCGTTCGCACTTTCTCTGTTTGCTGCGGGTAATTAGCCGGGCTTTTGGAGTTTATATGCATTTAGTGCTGTAGAGAATTCTATTGCGAACACAATGATACCAAATTTAATCTCGTAGGACGAGAATTAAGGTGACAAAGTTGAAGAGAGTATACACTTTTCAGAATTTACGCGCGCTCCCGTGACACCCTGGGTCCCATATCGCACTATTGAGGGGTGGCGTGCGGGGTGAGCGAAAGTGTTAAATATTATTTCTCAAATAATATTACTAATTTTCATAATTTGTATAAATTGAATCCTGTACTGTAAAGTATTCACTGAATGTGACCTATTGCAAGATATTAAAGTCTATGGCACTTTGAGTCAGATGGAGGAAGGTGGAAGTGTGAATTTTGCCCCATTCCCCTTGCCTTGCCAAGTGTTTTCATCACTTGTGTGACATAATAAGGGTCGCCTTTATGCACTCAAGCATTTTAAGATTCATAATTTTTTATTAATTTTGTCTAGTTATGACTGTTCTTGTAAAGCTGAGATTGGTATAAAAATTTGGAGTATGGTGACAGTGCCATGAGTGGTGTTGGGATAAGTACTAACACACACCGGTAGGGCCGGTGGTTGTGTGGACAGCACGCTTGATACGTAGTCAAGTGGACTGGGGCTTGATTCCCGTGGCCAGCAGAAACAAATGGGCAGAGTTTCTTTCACCCTGATGTCCCTGTTACCTAGAAGTAAATAGGTACCTGGGAGTTAGACAGCTGTTACGGGCTGCTTCCTGGGGTGTGTGGGGGGGGGGAAATAGTAACAGTTGGTTGATTGACAGTTGAGAGGGGGCCAAAAGAACAGAGCTCAACCCCCCACAAGCACAACTAGGTGAATACACATGCAGTTAAAAGTACACATTATTGAACATTCCTGCTGAAAAGTACTGTTATTGTGCTTGTTTTAAATAGGAAATCTCCCAGATTGGCTGTACATACGGACTTGAATGTTGGAGTGGTTTAGAAGTTTAGGCAGAATCTGATGGCAAGAACTGCAATTGGAGATGACCACCACCTTTTGCTTGCTGCTGAGAAGTTTGCTCATAAATTATATATAAATACATAATTACAGCTTCATAGGAATAAAAAAAAACTTAATTGTGGATGTTATCAAGAGGAAATTTTGAAATGTTATGGTTATAAAATGCTACATTACTTACAGGGTAAGTACTTAATTACTATACATTATGCTGATGCCATCCTACACCATGAAAGTTGGAAATGGGGTAATGGTAATTAATATACAGTATATATATATATATATACAGTACACACAAGTTGTATTTTAGCCAAAATATGTGAGCTAATATAATTTAGTAATTATATGTATTTTTTATATATTCTTAAGTGTTATAAATGTGTTTTCAGACTGTGTAGGTCACATCACATCTAAGGGCGATGTACAAATAAAAATTGGAAATTCCCCCAAAAAAGTAATTGGAACCGAGCTTGATGCAATTCAGCTATCAATTTTCTCACATCGATTCATGAGTCTGGCAGAACAAATGGGGAGGTATGAATTATTTCTCTTTTAAAACAATTATTCGAGTGCTAATTTATAATGAGTAATGAGTGCAACCTCTTTCCAGCAAACTGTATGTAACCAGACCTGACACTTTGCAGCCAGTGGTGCCTACATGGTTCATTTGTATGATGTAAATTTTTGTTTAAAGTCAAAAGATAGACAAAATTAATAAAAAAATCGTGAATCTTCAAATGCTTGAGTGCATAAAGGCGATCCTTATTGTGTCACACAAGTGATGAAAATACTTGACAAGGCAAGGGGGATGCCTTGCATATCATACAATGATATGCCTGTTTCTCCAAAAGTTTTACTTGCCTAAGAAAACTGCTTGAAACATGATTGGAGCTACTGAGTATATTAAAAATTACTATTCACACCTCAATATTTCCCACTCTATGGGCTACTTTTAGTGAATGAAATTTTAATTTTTACCTATCATCCTCATTCCAAAGGATATCTGATCAACCAGGCTGTGATTCATGTCAGGTTGCGAGCAGCTGCATCCAACAGCCTGGTTGACCACCCATCAACTATGAGGCCTGGTTAGAGACCAGGCTGTGGGAACATTGATCCCCAGAACCACCGCATGATAAGGTAATCATATAATAGACAGCTACCAGGAGAACCTGACTGTAAAGATATTTCACCCTTTTTGCTAGTATTTTTCAGGATCCAGCTCTTAAATCGTATTTTCTATAGGTTAGGCCATGATCTGAAAACGGATTTTCAGATCATTTTCAAAGGTTGGTGAGCTTTGACTCTGTATCCCAAGCAAATCTGCACATCATCACTGAATTTGTTTTTTTTTAATTTGTTCTGCAAAGCAAGTGGGTTAAAGGTAGCCCGTGACATGTGTAATGCAGTCGAAGACTCTCCAAAGTGAGGTTTGCTGAATCGAGGTTGCATTAAACCATTACTCTTAGCCTTTAATTACTATACAGTTAGATTGCTTGTTTTCTGTAATGTGTTTTATGTTGTATAGTGAGGATGATGTAAAGAATAAATGTGCTACACTTTAAAATAGATATAGCTCCTCATTCTGAAGTTCACATGCATGTTCCAGTTTCATTCCTGGAGACCCCAATGGTCCAAGACCAAGGATTTTGTACAGTGTTTAGTACAATATAATCTTATTTCAAAACGGCTAATCAATATAAAGTAAGTCAGCTTGACATAAAACAAGAGGGAGATGGATATAATATGGTAGAGTGAAGAGTTGTCAGCTGGTGACACAGGGTACAGTTATGTAGATCAATATCTGATATAGGCTCGCAAGCTTCATTTTAAAGGTATTTTTCATTAATGTGATAGGTGGATGGGCTTGCAAGTGGGCAAGCTGGTTGGTAGTAACTTTGGCTGACTTCCAATAATGGGGTATACAAGCTGATAATTGTTGCTGTCATCAACTTGTATTGTTATAGGGTTTAGTGCCAGATCATTCCAATAAAGTTGCAACTTAATACTGTAATCTAACTGTTGCCAGGATTTTGCAAAGAACATCCATTTCAACAAACATCAAAGAACGACTTGACTTCTCGTGTGCATTGTTTGGTCCTGATGGTGGATTGGTGTCCAATGCTCCTCATATTCCAGTTCATTTAGGAGCTATGCAAGAAACTGTACAGTATCAGGTCAGTCATCTTGTCTATCACCACAGTTTCCTTTTTACTACTTAATGAGCTTTCAAGTGTTTCAATATAGTAGCTCGGTACATATGTGTGAATTAGCTTTATACGGTAAAGATGTTAAAGGAATTAACTAAATTTATTAGCATAAATCAACATTTAAAAAATATAAGTAATGAAATAAATTTGTTAGACTAAGGGGATATTTATCAATGTTTAGATAATGATGTAGAATATAATGTAATACTTGTATACTATAATGATATAAATATTGGTGGTGTTTATCTGGTGAGAAGCTGTGATGGGGGCTCTCACAACTATCTTCCTAATCTTGGTGAATACACACTAAAAGCACAAGCAACTCATTTGGTTGTATTTTCCAAGACTTTTGCTTGGAAATTAACACATTTCATTCTTTCACTGTTATAGCTGATCAACCAGGCTGTAATGTATACATCAGGCTACGAGCATCTGCATCCAACAGTCTGGTTGACCAAACCACCAACCAGGAGCCCTGATCAGAGACCTTGTTATAGGGACGTTGATCCTCGGAATCACCACGAGGCCCCCCAAGTCTTGCCCCTTCCTATTTGAGAGTGGAAGTAGTTGAGCCGTCTAGTTCCCGCCATGGTTAGTTTTCTCCTTCACAACCACATGTTTCCTCTATACCTTTCTTTCCCAGGCATTGGATGATGAATTTGGCTCTGCCTCAGAGTTTTCATGGAGGCTCCTGCAGCTGGAGGAAACCTGATTTAAGCCCTTGGATGCCCAAAGATTCTTCTTGGTTGTGTGCTCACAGGAGAGGGGTTCTTTTATCTTTCTGATAGATTCAAGTTCGATTTGACTAACTTTCCCACGGTACATTTCTGTGAACCTTTTGGTCCAGCAGATTCATCTTTCACAAGGGTTCCTCTCTTTCTGAGTCTCTTCTTCAGTCACTTGTGAAGACCTTTTTGTTGTATCTACTGTGGAATTCAGACCCCCAGTTCCATGATGGACCCTGCTTCCTTGGAGTTTGGATCGGCATCACATTTTTGGCTTTGTTGTGATGTTCCAGAATCATCCCGGGTGGCTGACAACCTTCTTTTTACCTTAGGAGCTTGGCAGGGGTACTGTCGTGCCCATCAGTTTGAATGGTGTGAAATGTTAAATGTTCTTCAGGTGTTTGTGGAAGGCCCTCATTATTCCCTGCTTGAGGACTACTTATTTGCTCCTGCTCTCACCAAGGATATAGGTAAGTGGTAGCTTCACATTCAGCTGTCAATGTTGTCTGCTGCCTTGACCACAAAGTCACAGGGCTTGTTTGCTCTTAATGACTGTCATGCACTTTCAGGAGGCCTGTGGCCTTGTGGAGCTTTTTTCTGATCAGCTCTGAGGATGTGGACTTGTTTGGCTTAGTTTCAGGTGTGTATGTTTTGATGTCTGCTGTGGTGGTGGCCTTGCCCAAGATGTTTGTAGTCATTCTTTGAGAGGCAGTAGAGGCATTTAACACAGCTCGCCTCATGTTATGGCAGGCCCTCCTTGCCCACTGTTTAGATTTGGCTTGGTCTTTAGTCCTTTGTCTGCCTACCCTTTTTCACCTTGCCTCTTTGTTCCGTTCAATGATGGCAACTTCCTGCCATTCAGTTCCCAGCTTTTGGCTAATTGGAGTTCTGTTCCTTGTGCTTTAAGGCAGTCTGGTAGGGGTGGAGCCACACCTGCTGTTGCTTGAGGTAGGCCCTCGGGGGTGCCAGATTCTCGGGTTGTTGCACTTCCTGTGGGGTGTACTTATTCTCATTGGTAGTGCTTCTTGTGGTTTGCAATGGCTCTTTCAGAGTTGACCATGACACGAGGGTCAACTTCCCTACGTTACCAACTCTTGGTCCCATGATTCGTGTGCTTTTTAGGTCGTTTTCCTTGGCCTGCTGTGGAGTTGGTAGGTACCACACCATTTGTTGGGGGTTGGGGCTGGTGGGTTAGCTTTCTTCCCCGCTGCTGCATTAAGTCATTGCAACGTAGTTAGACATGGGTGTGGTTGAGCCGACCTCATCTCCCTTCATTGGGTGTCCCATTTCTTCCCGGTCCTCAAGAGCGACTTGTCGGACCTGCGGTTCGTCCTCAATCTTTTGGGTCTGAATAGCTTCATTCCCTGTCTGGCAATCCACATGACCACTTTTGCCAAAATTTGCCTGGTTCTTTAACTGGGTTCTTGGATAGTGTTGCTAGATCTCCAGGACATGTACAGGCAAGTTCCTATCCATCTGAGGTCAGAGATTGGTTAAATTTTGTGGTAGGGCATTGTGCTTACTACTTTCAGGCTGTGTCCTTTGGTTTGAACCTGGTTCCACACATATTCACCTGGTAATGCGAGTCGTTGTAGCTCAGCTGCGTCTCTTGTGGGGTTCGAGTTTTGCCCTACCTTGACTGGCTGGTTGGTTTAGGTTCCCAGTCAGTCCACGTGTCATCTAGCCAGGGATCCAGTTCTTTCCCAGCTCACCGGTTTCAGGTTCCTGGTGAATTGGCGAAGTCCCTGTTGGTTCCATCCGACTTTTGGAATTGACTGGGTTTCATCTAGGATTCTTGGTCGGCATCACATTCCATGTCTCCTTTGGCTTTGCACCGCTTACGGCCCCATTGCCATCTGGTGTTGGATTGGCCCATGGTGATTCTGCGGTTTGTCGAGCACCTGTGCGGGAGTCTGAATTTTGTCTGCATGTTGTATCGTTTGAGGAGAATTTGGCTCAGGATTCTGTACTGGTTCTGGTTCCTCCAGTTCCTCTTGGTTTCACAATTGCTGCAACGGTCAGGTTCAGGTCCCAGCTGCCCTTTGCTGGCTTCTTCCTTGGGCTTTTTGGGGTTCAATCCTATGATGCTTTCCAGCTCCATTACTCGATGTTTTTTATGGATGTGTTGGCTCTGGGTTGGGGTTTTGTGACCAGCGCTCACCAGACTTTCCAGGGTTGGTGGTTGGATCCGTTTCTTCGGGCACACAGTATGATGCACGAGTTCACAGCTGTGTTGCAAGTGTTAGGGAGGAGTCGGCTCCCTCCAGGTTTGGTGATCTATCTTCACTCTAACTGCTCACTGCTTGAATCGTGGAATGTTTTTTCAGTCCTACTCCCTTTGGTGCTGGATGCTGTAAGTGGCTCATCTTCTGGATTCTTTGGGTATAGCGCCCGGTGCACTCCATGTGTGGGGCATTTCCAACATTCTTGCCGAGTTTCTTGGTTTCATACTATATTCATGGAATGTACTGTCGACGTTGTCCTTCCAGTTGCTCTGCGAGGCGTTTGGACGCCCCAGGGTGGGTACTCACCTAATTATGCTTAAAGGAGTTGAGCTTTGGTTCTTCGGTCCCACCTCTCTACTGTCGATCAACTGGTGTACAGGTTCCCGAGCCTATTGGGCTCTATCATATCTACATTTGAAACTATATATAGAGTCTGCCTCCACCACATCACTTCCTAGTGCATTCCATTTGTTAACTACCCTGACACTGAAAATTTTTAAATTCTCTGGCTCATTTGAGTACAAAGTTTCCAACTGTGTCCCCTTATTTGTGTTCTACCCATGCAAAATAATTTCTTTGTCCCATCTTGTCATTTCCTCTGAGAATTTTGTAGGTGGTGATCATGTCTTTCCTAACTCTTGTCTTCCAGGAACGTGAGGTAATTCCCGTAACCTTTCCTCATAACTCGTACTTCTCGGCTCTGGGACTAATCTGGTGGCATGAATCTGAATCTTCTCTAAATTTGTCTTGTGTTTAACTAGGTATGGACTCCAGGCTGAAACTGCATACTCCAGGATTGGTCTGACATGTGGTATACAAGATTCTGAATGATTCCTTACACAAGCTTCTACAGGCAGTTCTGGCATAGTTATGTGTAGTTATGTCCCCCGTGTAGATAGTAACTATACAGTACCATATATTGTTAATATTAATTTGTTTAATGTTGTCGTCTTTATTTGCAGCTGCGGGTGCTGGGACACAACCTGAAAGATGGGGATGTGTTGCTCTCTAATCATCCATCTGCAGGAGGCTCACACTTGCCTGATCTTACTGTTATCACTCCAGTTTTTTACAAGTATGCTTCATTTCTTTCTTCTTAGTTTATTCACATTTTATTCATATCAACACAGTGCCACTGAGGACTAGATACATTGACAAGATACCTGGCATCCAAGACCCTGTTAGACCTCCAAAACCCCCGTGCTCGAATATTGGCCCAAGACATGTTTCCAAAAACAGCAGATAAAGTGGCATAATCCTGAACATCCCGTGCATGAGGATAGACTTGGATGACGCTGTGGATAAGCTGAAACACACAAACCCTGGAACAGGGAACCAGGGAAACCGGATCAACCCACAACAAATCCACTGAAACAGAACTGGTGGCACGCAGGTAGCAGTACACTATACTAATTATAAGTGGACCGGTCCAGTATATAGGACCTAGTAATGACCAGTACTTAGGTTGTTAATTAATAGCCACAGATGATTAAAAAATCCACTAATGGTTCTATACAATACTGTAATTCAAACTACACAACATAAAGATATTAGGGATAGAATATAAACATAAAGGGATATTAACCCTTGGGTGGCATATCTATTAATGTTTGCCAATGGGTAAATACACACTGTACAAAGTTACTTAACTTAAGAGTGAAGCTGAGGAGATGCAATTTCAACTCCCTTTATCTGGCAAGACCTTGTGTTTCCAGCAAACTACTACCAACTTTACAGGTGGGAACAACATGGGCAGTGTTACTGTATATAATACAGTACTTCATTACAGCACTTCATTACAGCACAACACTGCCCAAGTAACTAAATGGTATGTAATACAGAGTATTTTACTAAGAGATGATATAAGCAATAAACTATACATGGATGTATATTAACTGAAGAATATATATACACAATATATCAACTTGGCAGCAGTTTTACATCCTGTGTTATCTCTGGAATATACATTAATTCACACTCCTACTCTACTGTAATTTCAGTAAAGTATAAGAAATGCAAGAACCATTTTAATTGATAAGCAAATGAAGCTACTAAAACAAAATATATAGATACAATTGAATACTAGAATAATAACGGTGTATTAATGTACATTATCACGGAATACTAGTCTAGTAGGAATTACTAGTATTGCTAGTAGGAATACTAGCTCTGACCGTGATGACTGCCTGTGGGGACACCCACTCTCACCAGCCAATGCTACAATGCAGGTTCACAATGTGTACACAGTTGAGAATGTAAGAAAGTATTTGTAACTACTAGGACATGAAATGTATATTATCCAACACTATGTATATAGGAATACTAAACCACTGTATACACCAGAGGTAATCTAACCCAGGTGCCTGACACTGAAAGATGGGCAGGCTTAGGCCTGATTCAGGTTCAGTGTGGTCTCTGTTCCCCCCCCCCCCTCCCCCACGCACACACTACTCTACACGCACATGCAAACACACACACACTCCAGTTTCTATATAATCCTACATTTACATAAATATACATTGAATATATATTCAATAATGACTACACATATACAAGAATTTAACAATACTAAGACATCATGGAATATATGTAACAAGAAGTCAGACTATTATAATCTACATAGGTAAATACAAGTTATAGCTTAGTTATGGAACATATATAATAACTGGAACATAACTCCTATGCCAAAAGTCTAGATGCAGAGGTTGAAGGAGAATGTCAGAACAACTAGGTATGTCTTTGGACTAATCTGCTGAAAAAGGCAGGGCTGCGGAAAAACACTCGGGTTCGAACACTGGGCCGCATGAGCCAGAAACCTCGGCTGAGCCAGCCTCTAAGAAGGCGGAAGGATCACTCTTTCCATACAAGTCTCCAGTCTGGACAACACCTGAAAGCTTCAAGAATAAATTGGTCCGTTTTCTGCAAGACGTACTGGACCAACTAAGCTGTAGTGGATATGTAGGTCTGCGGGCAGCTCCAAGCAACAGACTGTTGAACCAAGCTCTCACAAGCCAAGCCTGGCTATAGACCAGGCTGGGGGAGTAGAACAACTCCCAAAACTTTATCCAGGTACAATCTATGTACAGGCAGCAATAGGGAAGGGGACTATGAGGAGAAGGCGCCAAGCAATTACGACTATATAGCACTTGGAAGAGATCAGTATAAGTATTTGGGATGGAACTAGGGGTAGAAATGGTGCCAAACCATTTGGACGGTTGGGGATTGAATGCTGACCAGCAAGGTAGCAATAGCCGATTGGAAGGAAGAGATAATTTAATTCCTCTTTGACCAATTTTATGCCCGAAACGCTTTGCGTAATAGTGGCTTTAGGCATTGTATGTACTAGCTCTACCTATAAGTCAACCAATCTTTGTAAAAATTTCTTGTATGTATGTACCTTACCTAAATAAACATTTTATTTATTTTAATCCAGTCCAGAAGCGTCCATCACAAGAGTCTTGCGACCAGGGAATGGAGCCACATAAGACTGAAGCTGCCAGGTAAATTCTGATGGGAAGAGGTCTACCTCGGGGTGACCAAATGTTTGAGGCACCAAAAGGACATATCATCGATGGTTCACTCCAATATTTGTTTGGGCTGATGGAATCACAACTCATAGAAGTAGGAAGCAGTACTGTATAATGATAATACATGTGTGTACAGTATATATACTGTATCATTCTTGCATTTAGGTGTATTGGTTTCCCAGTACTGTATCTGGGACAGGAAGCCTGTTAGGATAATTGAGGTCTCTCTAAGCTAACAGCTGACCTGCTCCAGGATGCAACTCACAACCCTAACTCGATCCTGGGTACCTATTTATTGCTAGGTAAACAGAGGCATGAAGTGCAGGCACGTGCCAAAATTTATGAGTCTGCATGAAAACAGAACCAGGGACTATTGAATTGTGAGCTAACTGCATTCATTAATGAATTGGTTTTTACATAATTTATGAACAGTCCCATAATTGTTCATTCCTTCTCTGTTGTGTTTGTAATATTATTTAACAAAAATATGGTAAAATTACATGGTAGTCAATAATTAAATTATTTTCAGGAGTGTACGTCATCCTGTGTTTTATGTAGCTAGTCGTGGTCACCATGCTGATATTGGAGGCATCACTCCAGGCTCAATGCCACCACATTCTACTTCCATACAAGAAGAAGGAGCAGTCTTTTTAACATTCAAACTTGTTGATCAAGGCATCTTTCAGGTAAGTAGACTCTGGAATACACTTGTATTAAACCACATCTAGACTTTGTATTAAAGGGTTTTCTAGGGTTTTCTTCTGGGATGGCTTTCTTTGGTGACTTCCCAAAGCTGCCTTTCTAGATGACTTGAATCCTGAAGCACCCCACAAGTCCCTTACGATTCACAAGTGCAGAATGCTAAAAATATATTAGTTCATGAAATAATGTTTAGGTATTATTAATTGGTATAATTGGTTGTTGTGGTGGCCTTCAGTGAATATGAGGCTTCTACAGATAAGTTAGACTGAGATGAAGTTTCATCAGCTGGACTCGCTCTCCCTTCATAGTTCTAATATTTTGAGCTGTCATTGTAACAATGTCCAGTAGTTTTAACTGAGAAGGAATGTGAGTGGAAAATAATGTTTGGTATCCACACATGGAAAAATGCAAAGCTTGATTGGTGATGCCAAGGTGGTGGCCGGAAGAGCATGGATTCCTGCCACAGTAACAAAAGATCGTGGCATATGGAATACAAACTTAGACTGGTAGAATTCATAGATGGTCTGCACAAATTGAAGGCTTATTTTATCTCTTGGTTGCATATTTTATTATGTAACTTTTGAGGAGGTAAATGTTATTGGAAATCCTCCAGGTGACTCGATAAAATCAAACTGGAAATAACCAACAAAATATCACTTAACACTTTAAGCTATATGCTGTTGACACATCTTTCCTTTTCTCTAATGAGAAAATTTCATTTTTCACTGTAACTCAAAATCTTTCATTTTGAGTGACAGTGAATACTGAACTAAAAAAGCCTATTGTGGCTGACTGGTAACAAACTCACTTAACAACCAAAAAATGTATTATGGTATGTAGTGTTTATAAACAAGTCCACCAATGTAATTACTCTAACAATTAACAATACCCAAATTAGATGGGAAATTCCTTGGTCTTCACATTGATAACAAACTGAATTTCAGTTACATACATAATGTACAAAAATTTATAAAATGGTAGACACTCTAAAATCTAAAACTATATAACTAGCTCTACCTTGGTAATGCTTTATTATTTACTTGGCTACCATTATATCACCAATAGTATCTGTGCTTGGGGATCGATAACCCAAAATTACCTGAACTTTGGAAATCAAATTGTGTTCAGTATTGTAAATCTTCCAATTTATTCTGAATTCTTGCATGTGCGCTATAAACCAGAAGCACTGTTAGGCTGATTCTCATATTTTCCTTCATCTTCTGCATCATAATTTATTGCTTAAATATTTTCCAGGAAGAAAAACTGATTGAAGCTCTTATGGCTCCAAGTAAGATTCCTGGATCATCTGGAACTCGTAATCTGCAGGATAACCTTTCAGATCTTCGAGCTCAAGTTGCAGCCAATCACAGAGTATTCAAAATTTAACCATATTTGTTGCTTCATGGGATATTCACTTTAACTCAAATCTTATATGTTGTTTCAAATTCTATTCCATTTTATAAAAAACAAAGTAAATAATAAGAAAGGTATTAAGGGCAGTGAAATCATGCTATTGTGATTTCTGTGTGTAGTGGTATGCAGTACTTTGAAATTTTCTGTTAACAGGGAATCCAACTTGTAAATGAGCTAATTGACTACTATGGCTTAGATGTGGTTCAAGCATATATGAGCCATATTCAATCAAGTGCTGAACTAGCTGTTCAAGAGCTTTTAAAGGAAGTTGGGTCTCGTATCTTTAGGAAAACAGGCATTGCTTCACTTCATGCAATTGATTACATGGATGATGGCTCGCCTATTGAACTGACAGTAAACATCAACATTGAAAAGGGAACAGCTGTGTTTGATTTTGAGTAAGTGATGTGCTCTTCATTTGATTACTGTACTGTTCTGTACATGTGTTATCACAGATACACCATAATATTACCTCATTCATTTTGTTTTAGAGGAACAGTATATTAATTTTTATTTTTACTTTGGAACTTTGCTATTTCTTGACTGTCAGATGACACATTAGTTGTGAATTTAATCTTGCACTGTAGTAATAATACGCTAGGAAAATATTTTATCTCCTGTATTATTTACATAATTATATGAGGGTTTTGGTAAGTGTACAATTGTTGTTTTTAGCCGACAAAAAATCCTAAATGTCCAGCAAAAGGCCAATGCCAAACTGAAATTCCAAAAATAAAAATCCTAAACCATCTGCAGTTTATCATATAATAAAAGAATTACTCTTATCTTATAACTACACATAGATTTTTCCCACTTATTTTCTACTGTCACATACTTTCCACTGTTACGAACACACACAAAAAAAAATTCATTTGTTTCCTTTGCAGAGGCACTGGACCTGAAGTTTGGGGCAATTGTAATGCACCAAAGGCCATCACTGTTTCAGCTGTAATTTATTGCCTTCGTTCCATGGTTGGTTATGATGTACCTCTCAATCAGGTGAGTTTTTGTGTAATAAGGGTTTGTACAGCAGGTGTCATTTTATTAACAATCGTAGTATAATATGTACTGTATATCAATGTACTCTTTTTAAAGTTAACTTTTAAATTGTATTCCAGAATTCAAATTCCATTTGTCTTTTCAAGGATTTTGTATTCTGATATCTCATACTCCCAATTTATTTCCATTCCGAGTTACCATTGTTAAACTTTGGTGGCTTCATATCCTACATCCCATACCTTAGTTTTCTTCTTCTTTGATTTTTTTTTTAGCATGCATGAAGCAATTTATTCTAAAGAAAGAAAAAAGTATTATGGATTTAAAAACAAAAAAACAAAAATGATGTTAGGGATATAACTTAAATGTATTTTGTTTACATTTCAGGGCTGTCTAAAGCCAGTGACAATTAAGATACCTTCAGGATGCATATTAGATCCATCACCAGATGCTGCAGTTGTGGGTGGTAACGTGCAAACATCGCAGAGAGTAGTTGATGTAATTCTTCGTGCCTTTAATGCTTGTGCGGCATCCCAGGGCTGTATGAATAACATCACATTTGGTGATGAGAGCGTGGGATACTATGAGACAGTGGCTGGAGGTGCAGGAGCGGTATGCTTTTACATTTTTTATAGTCATAGGGATGATAATATATTTATAATAAGTGAGATACTATGATACATTTTCTGTTGTGTTGGGTATTGATTTATTTAATATATATATATATAATATATATATATGATATATATATATATATATAATATATATTATTATATATAAATAAATAAAAATATAACACACACTCACACACATATATACACACACACCTTGTCATAATATGTATCCTGAAAATTTCTGAGCTGAGATCCTCGTATGCTGCCAGAGATGGTAAAGTTAACCACCACTCTGTTGTGAGTGGTCCCGGTCCCCTCCCAAGCTCAATTCGGTGGACCTACAGTATATTTTCTACCTCCCAAGATTGAATAGCTTCATTGCCTGTCCGACCTTCTGCATGATCATTTTATCTAAGGTTCACCTGGTTTTGCAGGCAGATTCCTGGATGGTGTCCCTGGACCTCAAGGACATGTACTAGGACATTCCTATTCACCTGAGGTTTGAGGACTGGTTTTAGGATTTCCCATGGGGTGTCAGCCTTACTGTTTCAAAGTTGTTCTTCCCTTTGGCTTGAATCTGGCTCTTTGGATACTGTATTTACCATGTTAGTGTGGGTGCTTGTGACCCGGCTACGTCCCTTGGGGATTTCACGTCTTGGTCTATCTTGACAACTAGCTGGTTTGGGCTCCTAGCCAGTCCATGTGTCTATAAGCTGGGGGATTTGGTTCCTTCATAGCTTGCAGGGTTTGGGTTCCTGGTGAACTGAAGGAAATCCCATTTGGGTTCATCCCAGTTTTGCACCTGGTTGGGTCTGGTTTGGGATTCCTGGTTGGCTTCCCTTTCCCTGCCACAACTGGCTTTGCTTAGCCTGCAGTTCTGTCTCCGTCTAGTGTTGGACTGGTCCTGGATTACTTGGAAGTTGGTTGAGTAGTTGTAAGGAAGCCTGAATTTTGGCTGCTTGGTTTTCTCCTTAAGCAGAATTTGGCTCTGGGTGTTGGTCTGGTTCCTATAATTCCATATGTTTTACCACTGCCAGGACTATTGGATTTGGGCTCCATTTACCCTCGGCCAGCTTTTGCTTTAGTTTCCTCTTCGAGGTTGGTTCCGTGGTGCCATTCTCCCCATTGCTTGTTCGATGCATTCAGACACCTTGGCCCAAAATTGGGGTTTTGTGACCAGTGGTTGCCTGTGCAGTGCAGGAGTTTGCTGCAGTATTGCAAGTCCTGTAGAGGGTTCATCTTTAACCTCTGGACACCATTCTTTAGCTCTAATCAAACTGCTGTCCAGTGGTTCATTGTCTGAATTGCAGGATGTCACTTCAGTTCTTCCACCTTTGGAGCTGGACTTGGCAAGTGGTTCGGCTTCTGGATCCTTGGGGTTAGGTTTATGTGAACATTGGACATGTCCTGCACGACATGTCCAAGGTTCTCACGGGTGGTCTCTGTCATTTCTGTCCCATTTCCACGGAGTGGACTGTCCAGTGGCTCTGCAAGATGTTCATCATCCCAAAGTAGGTCTCTGTGTTGACTTTGGAACTGACAGCTTCCTTCTTACATGCCTTCGTTCCACGATTGCAGAGCTTTCATGGTGGATGTGTTTCAACTGGACTGGTCAAGATAAGAGTTTACTGATCTCTCTTTCCTGGTCCAACTGTTACTCTGAGTTGTCCAGGTTAGAGACTTAGTTGGGTTGGGTGATCATTCTGGCTCTTTTGGAGGCCAGTTCAGCCTTGGTTTCTGGCTCTTCAGGCCCAGTGTCTGGAGCCTGACGTTTTTCTGTGGATCGGTCCTGACAAAGTATACTTTGTATTTGGCTAGTACGACATTCTCCTCCAATCTATGTATCTGTTGTTTTTTACACGGATCTGTCACCATTTGTAGGTGCATAAGTGGCCAAGTTGTTAGTATTCCACCTACATCTTTCATTGCAGCAACAACACAAAATTTCTTGGAGTTTTTTTCGTCTCGCCTCCCTGTGTTATGTGCATGTCTGTTCCATTTGTTTTGTCCTTTTCTTGGTTTTTGTAGATTGGCATCTTATGGCCAATACTGTCGCCTCTTATCATTCAGCCTTGGCAGAGCTGATTTTGTTGCCATTTGGCATCAACAAAAAGGGACTTCCTCCTTTTTTGGTGCCATTTTACATGTTTCGTGCATTTTTTAAAATTCTGGTTGGCTCTTGTTCCTCTCGGGCTGGCTGGGTGAGTGGAGTGGAGTGGAGTGGAGTGGAGCGAGTCCGTCTGTCCGGTACTGTACTGTACTGTAATGTACTCTGACTGACTGACATGAGCAAAGCTCTCATCCTGTAACTACACTTAGGTAATTACTCACTCACTCACACTCTCAATAAAGTATGGGACTTTCTTTCCGTCCCTCAGTTCCCCCTTTGGTCTGTTATACATTTTTTAAGGCTCTGTTTTTGTTGGCCCTCGCATCTGGTCAGGTGGAGGAGCTTCATGCTCTTTTCTGGAAGTGGGGTTTTATTCTTGTTTAGTGGTTTCTTAGTGTGCCGCCTTCTCCTTGTTTTCTGGCGAGTGAGAGGGCTGGCTTCTGGAGGGGTCCTTTGGTTATCGATGTTTGGTTTGTCTGACAGGGAGTGTATCATTTGTTGTGTGCAGTTGTTCATCACTATTTGCACATCACTCGTACTGCTTTCAGGCATGCTTTGTTGATCCTGTTTCCTTGGTTTCCTTGTTCCAAGGCTTGTTTGCTATAGGTTGTCTGCAGTTTCATTAAGTCTAGCAAGCCTGCAGTGTTCCTTTTATCCAGTGATGGGCTTTTCCACTATGCCATGGGCCAATATTAGAGCTTAGGGGTTTTGAGGAACTTAACAGGGTCCTGTCAGCTCACTACAAGGTCAATGTTCCTGGTACCCATCAGGCTTGTTTCCCATCCCTAGTTCTGTTCTTTCAGGGTGTAATCTTCAGTCTCCTCTTCCCTGTTAAGTCCCAATTTGTCTGGCCTACTTTGTGACTAGATAACTACAGGGAGTGAGCATTCAGCCATCTGGAAAACCAGTGTTGAATGTAATGAATGTAATTAAATGCCAATATTTTTTGTAGTCTATTATAATAGAATGTACTCTGAACCAAGAAAATAACATTTGCAAGTAATAATTTAACGGATGCAAAGTTTACTATAAAAATCAGGGTTATACTGTACAGCTTTTTATATGTGTATATATCATTCTTCTATTAATTCTCAGAGTATTAAATTAAATAGATAATAACTTGCATTTTTGTTATGCTGAATTAATTCTCCATATTTTTTTTTTCTTGCAGGGCCCATCATGGCATGGTCGTAGTGGCATTCATGTCCACATGACAAATACTAGGATTACAGATCCTGAGATACTGGAATCACGTTATCCTGTTATCCTCAATAAATTCACGCTAAATCCAGAAACGGGTGGAAGAGGAAAATTCAGGTATGCTGTATGTCCAGGTATTGCTACCTCAAGTACATATAGATGTTCTTTTCTTAAACATTTACTCGCATTCTTAAAAAGTCTGCTGTAATTATTCATCTCACCTTTGATAAGTCATTTGATTGAAGTACAGTACTGTATTTTCTGTAATCACATTTCCTGGCCCCATTATGGGAACCTAACAATGATGATACTAGTAAAAGTTACAAAAAAATCTATGAAAGTTTGAAGCATCTTTGTTGGAGGGATTTCCATGGTAGAATGTAATGTTCAAAAGACAAATGGTAACATGCCCAAAAATACGCATAAATATGCACAAAAGTGCTTAAGTATTTTATGTTTCATTTCCATAATGGTCACATTATTCATCACATCTTAATTTCTTGATGATTTACACATGCATACAATAATATATGTATGTATGCCTACTTTACATAAATCTCTCTCCATATTCTTCAGAGGTGGTGATGGTGTAATTAGAGAGTTGGTATTTCGACGTCCTTTGACACTATCCATTCTCACCGAAAGAAGAGTCTTTAAACCTTATGGACTTGAAGGCAAGTGAAAATTAGTTTTTTGTTTTTAATATTTGACACCTACAGGCCATCCTAGTTGGACTTATGTGCAAGTACAGTATATTACATGAATATTCCTGTTGTGGATAGTGAGATTTATCCTTTTTGCAACCTTATTATGTTTGAAGCTTAATCAAACCTTAAAACTTAACCCAGATTCAACTATGAACCAAACTTACCAAGCTAAATTAATCTCACCTTAGTTTAGCCCTAGAGAGAGCCTTACTCTCTCCTGGAAGCTCCATGTTAGTGGGTGGTCACAGCAGAAGTTTCTCTAGGAGGCTGTATTACCACACAAACTTTTCACTCTTTCAAGAGTGAGAGGTTTGTGTGAGACATAAGATATAAGGTTTGTGTGGTATGTATATGAGAGAGAGAGAGAGAGAGAGAGAGAGACATAACCCTTTTGTCTTCATTTCATATAGTGGGCCACTTATTCCTTCCAAGATTCTGGTCAGCTGTCTACTTTGTTCACTCTTGTACACCCTTCTCTTTAAACAAATTACTTGTATCTTGCTAACATGTCTGTACTACACAACCGTGTTGTTTCGCCTTTCATTCTCTTACCTGTTTTACTCATACCAAATCTCTAGTATACTTTGTCATACTTATCCCAGATACTTTGACCAGCTGCTTTTCTCACAATATTCACGATACTAATTTCTGCTGCTTATATTCTTTAGCAGTATTTAGGAACGTGATAGTAAAGATCCTGGTAGCTTTTTCATGAAAGATCCCATAATATAACAAAAGCACAACATACTGTACTTTAAAAAACTAACTATATATTATCCTCATGCACTTTGCTCAGGTCCTGAGTTCTGGAACTATATATTTAAAATAAAAAATGCAAAGTACCAGACACATTGTATTATGGATAAAAATTTCCAGTATTGGCAAAGTATCATATTCACTTCAGTTAGACCCACACCACAAGGGATGTAGGAAAGCACTGGCAAAAAACTACAGACCATTAGAGAAGCAAAGTGAGAATATATCATAAAGGCCAAAACTGATAATACGTACTGTAGTTTGTGTCATATGACGAGAGTACTGGTTGAGCCTGGCCTCAGGCTAGGCTCGGGGAGTAGAAGAACTCTCGGAACCCTCTCTAGGTATGCTCCAGGTATACTAGGAAGATGGGACAAGTATAGCTCACACGCTATAACTACAGTTAGGTAATTACTAATTTCACACACTAAAGTCTTTGAAAGAGTGATGTCTTTAAATATCTAATTTCTCTGAAAAAAAATTAAAAACAACCCAGGTCAAAACTGATTTAAAACATGAAGAATCTGCTTTTTGCATATACTGTACTTAACCACTATAACAAAGGCACAGAAGCTTTTAAGAAAATCAGAATGCATATGTAGTATATTTGCAGTTTACAAAAAAAAATTTGATAAATGTGGCTTTGGAGTGATAGTTGCAAAATGGAGTGATGGATAATCAATTTCCTTACAAAAGGATCAAGAGTAACAGTAAACCAGATTCCAGGTTCAGCACAGTGGTTAACTCTGTAGCATAAGAAACTGTCTTTGCACCACTACTCTTCATCTTCAGAGCACAGTGGGTGTAAAGTTGCTGCCCAGTTGGGCAGCACCACCACCCAGTACAGTACCAAATTAGCCAGGTTGCATTGGATATTTATCTGAGGGTCACTAATACTAGTGGCCTTGATAAGGACAGGAAGCCGGTGGCTTGTCAAAGGTCCCCTCCCCCGCATTTGCCTTGATGATAATGGGCAAATGTCCATGTGGACAGTTTGTTGATAGTTTATCACAGAAGCCTGGTGCCCAGTCTGGCTGCGAGAAGAAATTGTGAAACGAACTGCAGGTAACTGCATTTTTCATATTCAAGTATCACTTGCATATGTCAGGGCTGGTAGTAGTATGCTACCTCTGTCCTTCATTACTTCACATACTAACATTTCTTCCATTTATTATAGTACTAGTATTTACTTTTGTCTACTGCTCCTCTCCCACACATTATCTCTTACTCCATCTTGCATACTTCCAATTGTTTTGTAACAGGGCTGAATTATTTAAAACTTAATACTGCATCAAATATATCTCCACCCATTCTTATCCTACTATTCAAAATGCTATCCAGTATCTTTAAATGCTTCAGGGATCTAGAAAGTCCATGACATTCCATTTGAATGCAGTAGCAAACATAAAATCTTAATTTTCCTACATTGACCTTAACTTTTTCTTAGCAATACAAACTCCCTGAGTTTGTAGATGTGGTGTTCTTTGTGTAGAGTAACAAACAAACATGTCAATAGTAAAAATTTATCCCCCATCACAATCTACTTACAACCATACATCAGCTTTCATCATGTTGTCCCCTAATACTGTATTGGCAAGTACAGTAAATACCTGTTTTACATTTCCATTGTATCATTTAATATTAATCCAATCAGAAGTCTTATGCTTTCTTCCACTGTCTTGAAGTTACTGTTATCGTTTGCATGGAAGTACATAATGATGTAACCTCACAAACACACTTTTGTGTATTCAAACTTTTTTCTCCATTTCATCCCCCCTTCCTTCATGTATACATATGAATGAAACTATGCTGTAAGAATGTATTTGACACACACCCACTACAAAAAATTTATATGCCATTTACACCTTGGAATGCCCCTTTCCAAAAATGTTTTCTCTGCATTCATTCCAGAACATCTCCCTCTTATTCTTTCCATTATCCTTACATAAGTATATGCACTTGAAACATATCTTTTTGTATATTTTTGAAACAAGCTTTTGTATAATGTCTTGTTACATTTTATATATACTGTACTTTGTAAAAAGGGAATATTTAAACTTTACATGCGAACTTGAGGATAGGAAGGTGTTTGAAGAGGCATTTTGAAAATGTAAGTGAAAATTTGTGAGCAGAATGTTAAGTGTGAGGGATAAAGGTTGAGTAGAATGTTGTGGAGGGGAAAGATGATTGAATTGTTTTGTTTTGTTTATGAAGTATGTATGGAGGAGAGAATATGTTAGCACTATTAATATATCTTTTTGTTTAACATAGTATTGTACAGTACTTCATCTATTCAATACATTGACAATTGATAGCCAAATGCTTTCTATATGTTTGCAAGTACTTAATACAATCTGTGTGGTTTCAGTTTGATACTTATAAATTTAAAATTTAATCTGTTAGGTGGTGAAGATGGACAAAGAGGAAATAATCTCCTGGTTCGTAAATGTGGCCGTGTAATTCGTTTAGGCTCAAAAACATCTGTGAAAGTTGAGAAGGGAGTAAGTACCAAATCTCAGATTATATGTACTGCACTGAAAAATATTTATATTCAGTATTGTATTTTGTGAACATGTATTAATTAAAAATATGATTTGCTATACTTAGGATATGTTCCGGCTACTAACTCCTGGTGGTGGAGGGTATGGAACTTGCAAGGAATCAAACAAAGAAGATGGTTCAAGTCATTGAAAACCAAGAAGTGTCTCAATGAAGTTGAGTTAATTTGTTTGAATAAAACAATTTTTACTACAAATTTTTTATTATTTAACAATGTGATATGTAATACCTATTTGTCAGTTTTTTATCTCGACACCATTTTTTTCATTTCACATGATCCCTACAAGATATCTATCTTGACTAAGATCCTGTCAAACAACAGAGGTCCTATTATCAAATAGAAAAATACAATATTAAAGTAATCCAATTCATAGGTCAAATATTTGAGTATTTTAATTAACTTTGGCTGTGAATGATCACTTCAGGCATTTGACTAAATTCTAAAGTATCAAATTAACAATGTAGTAAATTTGCTACTTTCCTGTACATGGGAAAAGCAACAATTTCTGGTACAGAAAGTCTTAAAGCCCTCAATTGTCAGGTAACTACAATCAGCCTGCCTATTTCTCTTTACATTGCTCTTGTCCTTAACTGTTAGTACCCACAAATGTTTGATTTTACCCAGCAAACTAATTTTCTCTTATTGTGATGGATGCTGCTTAACATTTGCAGATCCAGAAGATTAAAAATTAAATTATCAAGTTTAAGTTGCATTAAAATCTCATCTTTTCCATTATCAAACATCCAAGGTTACTAACCTTATCACCACAAGCCAACCTTATACATTATATTGGGCTAGAGCAGATCTGCTTCAGTCTCCAATTTTAAATTTATTCACCTCCACGAGTTTATTCTCTACCATTAACACAACGTCTCAGGAAATTCTTACAGTGTGCATCCCTAACCTCTTCCACCTACCAGTCTTTATCCCTTTTCCTCACTTATCCAACCACTTGGGCTGGATGGTAGAGCGACGGTCTTGCTTCATGCAGGTCGACGTTCAATCCCCGACTGTCAAAGTGGTTGGGCACCATTCCCCCCCCACCCCCGTTCCATCCCAAATCCTTATCCTGACCCCCTTCCAAGTGCTGTATAGTCATAATGGCTTAGCACTTTCCCCTGATAGTTACCTGCCTTTCCCACTTCTTGGGGGCTGGAAGATAGTAATCTAGGCTAATATATCCAAGCTAACCACATACTACAACAATTCTTACTCTTGTGCTCTTTTGGTTTACTTTAAGCTGCCTTCATTGTTCAATATATAACTGGGTTTAATGTCTCCACCAGGCATATTATGGGGTCTGAGGTTTGGCATTTATTATTTTCTACCATTTCTTTAAGCAACAATGTTAAAATCTTGTTTGCACTACATTTGATAAATGAAATAGTAACTACAAGCCAAGATATACATTAAACTTTTTTTTTTTTTACCTTAAATAAGGACTAATAATGTATCTAAACCCAAGTAAGCAACCACTTGTATAGTAAGTTTAAATACTGAACTAAATATAATCAGTTAAGGAACAAACTGCAATGGGTAGCCAACATAGCAAACAATCACCTTGACAAAAGGGGTTCTTCAACTGAAGATAAATGATCAAACTAAAAATTTGCAAGTACTGTACTAATTGGGCAGCCAAATGGTGACAAGACTACATGTAAATTTAACTTTATCAATATTAAACACTAAAATGGTAACAGATTAATTTGATTACCCACCTATGCCAAGATTTTGGCGAGGTTCTTCACCACTGGACAACCTGTTTTCGTATGAATGTATGAAGCAAGGTAAAGACTTGTAATATGTAAGTAACTCAAAACAATTTACACACAAAAAAGCAGCAGCAGCTATTTTAGACAAGCCCTATTTTAATCTTTTCTATATACTGCCTGAACCCCTCCACTGTACACCTGTCTATGACAACCCAATGATGCACAAAACATTCAAGTTTCTCTACAGTATTTGTTTATTAAAATGTATTCACTTAAAATATGTACATTTACTTTAGCTATGGTGGAGGAATGAATTCTCATGACTAATTTACAAGCATTCATGCAGATGTCCTAAAAAGAGGTTGCCCAGGCCTTGGCACATGGAAGGAGCTGCCAAAAATATATTATTTAAACCATTTATTGCTGTCACCATTTTTTCCTTCTTTTTTTATGCAAGTGTAATTTTTCCAATTACTGTATACAAGTGTAATTGGAGAAATTCCTATAAAATGTGCAAAATACAAATATAGTCCTCATTAACTTCCACATAGTTTCTTTATACAACACTGCTATTATCACACTGTACAAGTGATGTACAAGTACATGTTTACACAGTTACAACAGTTCTGATTGGCATGATTATCTCTTAACCAGTGATCCAAGCACAGCCCATTTGTCAGGTACACAGTAAAGCAGATTTGCCCAATATACTATGCACACCACTAACACTACCACCAAAACACTGCTATCAGAATCCTGTCACTAAATCCCAAATACATTTTTTTCTAAAAGAAATATTCTTATTGCATGGTAGGTACTCTCATCAAACCACAACTGTGCTATGGCTGAGCTTCTCATGAACAGCACCTGCATTTGGCTTACACGTCTGTACCTTGTACATACTTTCTATCGGAAAATTTTTCTATACCACTTTTTAGTAAATTATCATAGTTACCCCATGCGGTAGTTTTCCCATCACTCTGCACTGCAGCATGCACTAATGATGGGTTGTTGCCTTAGTACTAAGGCCCTCACACCCAGAAGTGCCCATGAATCCACACCCCTAAGTAAGCAAGTAATTATTAAAAGAAAGCACCAAGCCAGGGAGACTGTAGCACCATGGAAGTTGCAGGATATTCAAAAGGCGCAAAGTAAGGGTGCCAATACGAGAGAAAAGGCGCAAAATGGGAGTGATAAAGATATTGGATTCACCAAGAATCCCTCCCACCATCGAGGGACGGGCGGGAGGCAAGATATACACGTCCCGAAAGTCAGGATATTCAGCAAGGATATACACGACTAAGTGGGACAATAAGTAGCAGGGCAGTGCTCCAAGTGCCCACGAATTGAATGTGTATGGCCAATATGTAACCTCACCAGGGCCATTTCCCATTTTCCTCTTGGAGGGCAAAGAGGACAGGCTACCCTTAAGAGCATGCAGTTTGTTACTGCATGCTCAGAAGTAACAGAAGTCTAATGGGCATGGATCTGACGAATGACTGGGTAGAAATCTGAATAAGAAATGCCTTTACAGGAAATATGACAGCTACAGACAGCCTTAGCAGCAGGGTCTGCATGCTCATTTAAGGAAATAGCAATGTGGCTGGGAACCCAGCAAAACAACCAAAGTTCTGAGAACCCAGAGATTAGAAACGGTAAATACTGCATTTATGCTAACACAGGATTTACAGTATAGGGATTAAAAGACTCCAAAGCCAAGAGAGCACTAAAAGGGTCAACCACTATGGCAAAGAAGTGCTGATGACAAGAGCAATTAAAGGACAAAAAATGTCATACAGGTCGACCATGAAGATTCTTGCCTCTTTAGGTAGGCAGCATATGTAGGTCTGGCCTGGATAGACAACCATATCCAACACCATTGGCAGACTTAGATTTGTCTAAAGTCTAAATATTTTCAAGAGAAAGGTTGTTTCAGAACAAGGGGGAGGTAGAAGCTTTAATCATATGGGTCAGACAAAAAATTTACAAGTAGGACCCACCAAGGAGGTACAGATGGAACGACATGTGAAGAGATATTGCCAACAAACTGAAAAGGGAGGCTTGTAAGCAAGACATAAAATAAAAGAAAGATAGTGAAAGGTAACGGAGGGGCAATAGCCAAAGCACGGCAAAAGCATGAATGAGGATGTTGTAGAGACCTCGTAAGGAAATGAACGCAGTAAGGAACTATCATTCTGGAGCGACAAAACATCAGTTTCAACATGCAAACTCTGGATATGGGACGAACGAAAGGCACCAGGATATTCAGGATAACGAGGCACAACCCACCATGGTGCAGACCACGAAAAGTGTAGGACCGAAGGAAGAGCACAGGCGTAGGCAGGGCAGTCATAATCCAGTTTAGATAGTACAGGAGTGCAAATACAGGAGTATGCATCTATCAGTTCTCCAGGAAGTATGGGACAAGACTAAGTAAGGCAAGGGCTTTAGAGCATTCAGCTCTGAGATAAGACACATGGGGAGATCAAGATAAACAAGTTTCAAAGATTAACCCCAAAAGTTTAGCAAATTTTTACACAGAAGGTGACTACCATAGTGTGACAAAAGGGAGGGATGAAGAATGACCTGCTTCTGAGTAAAAGTCATAAAAAGTCTTCAGCAAAGAATTTGAAACCATGATTGGTGGCCCAGGATAACCCAGGAGAGAGAGAGGAAGCCAGTGTCAACATACAAACTGAGGGCGGGAGTCGAACAAAAGGCACCAGAGCCGAGACGCAATCCAGTATGGTGCAAAGCATCAAGACGGCGAAGAGTAGAAGGAGAAGCACAAGAGTATGCAGGGCAACCATAATCGAGTTTAGACAGGATGAGAGAGGAGTGCAAATGGAGGAGTGTGCGCCTATCCGCTCCCCAAGAAGTATGGAACAAAATCTTAACAGGTTAAGGGCGTTAGAGCATTCAACTTGGAGGCAAGAGATATGAGCTGACCAAGACAAACGAGTGTCAAAGATTAACCCCAAAAGCTTAGCGGAATCCCTGTACACAAGGGGATGACCATAAAGCGACAAAGAACTACATGCTTCCGAGTAAAAGTCATAGCACAAGTCTTAGACGTAGAGAACTTTAAGCCATGATCGGTGGCCCAAGACGACACGGCATCAATCGCAAGTTGAAGCCGCCGTTGAAGGAGAGGCGAATCATCACCCTGACAGCAAAGGGTAAGATCATCAACATAGAGAGCGGAGAAGACGCCAGAAGGAAGAGAGGAAAGAAGACCATTGAGGGCAACTAGAAAGAGTAGTGCTCAGAACACTACCCTGGGGTACACCCTCATACTGCTGAAAAGGGGCAGAGAGAGTGGTACCAAGTCGCACATGAAAGGAACGACAAGAGAGGAAACTCTGGAGGAAGAGAGGGCGATTCCCACAAAGGCCAAAAGAATGAAGTTGAGACAGAATATGATACCCCCAGGTACTGTCGTAAGCCTTTTCCAGGTCAAAAAGGACGGCAACAACGGAGGTCTTCGCAGCAAAAGCAGTACGAATATATACCAAGTTCACCAGGACATCCGTTGTACTGCAGCACTTGCAAAAACCAAATTGAGAAGGGGAGAGGTGGTGATAGTGTTCCAAGAACCACATCAAACGAACGTTAACTATACCTTCAAAGAGCTTGCAGACAGACGTGAGGGCAATAGGGCGGAAGTCCTTGGGGGATGACCCGAGAGACCTTTGTTTCCGAGGCAGAATGGCAGATCATTCTAAAATGAATGCCGCCTGTACCTGCCACTGATGAACCGCAGAGGGTCAAGGCAAACAGGAGTTCTGAGAGAGAGAGAGAGAAGGGATTGTTATAGGAGAGCTGTAGATGGGTGTGCAAGTTTTTAAGGGACGAGATTCAATAAGGGGTTTATGAGGAAGACAAGAGCCAGAGCCAACACCCAAATACCCAATTTACCCATGACCAACACCAGGTCTGCTACCTGGACCATGGAGGTGAAGGGCAGGTGAAATATCTGGAACTTGCCCGCTACCTTGTGGATTTTCGTACAGATCTGAGGGAAGAGGGGTGTCAACCGTAAGGGTTGAAAAACATTTCCAGCTCTCATTCTTGGCTGTACAGAAGCCCACCACACACATCTTCCGAAACAAACAAAAAAATCTGGCGTGTGTTGGCGTCTTTCACAGGCTGCATGCTTACAGCAAACAGCCAGAACACAGTCCAGGAGGTAGAATGGAATAGAGCAGAAGGCTTCATCGAATAAGGTGGCTAGAAAACTAAAAGCTCGAGGTAGAGGTAAATCAGTTTGGAAAGAGTAGCATGGAAGTCAAATAGATTAGTCTGCCTTATTAATTTAAACTACCACTTGGGAAAGGAGAGAGCAAAAGGAGTGTGGAAAGAAAGGGATACAAGGATGGGGAAATGGTCATTTATGGAGACCATCAAGAATCCTCCAGGTTAGCTCTAAATAAATTAAAAAAAAAAAAAAAAAAAAAACATGAAGACAGGAAAGGGTGCAAGTGCATGTGTCAACATGAGTTGGCTTATCAGAATTCAGAAGAGAAAGAAAAGGATCAAAGGTTTGAGAGGTCAGTCTTGGGTATTTGTCATATAACTATCCCATGGGGGCCATGTTTACAGTTAAATATCACTCGGAAGGAACACGAACTCTTTACTGGCGCCTAACAGTTAAGAGCCAGAAGAAAAAGCAAAATATTTGGGGAGGGGGGAGATAACTGGAACAGTACCATTTACTCACCGATACGGGCAGTAGAGGAATGAATGCACTAGTGAAGTTGAGAGAGAGAAAGGGAATATCATTACAAATAAAGAGAGTAATAGAGTCAAAGCCCTCAGCAAAAGCTGGAGGGAAAGAAATAACCATGGAAGCAACCAGGACGAGTGCCAAGCATCAGATCCTGAAGATATGCACAAAGTGACAAGAACCCAGATCAGAAGTTCATGGAAGTTGGCATAAAAATCAATACAGTATTCTATTAATTAAAAGAATAGTTATAAAAAAAAAAATTAAGTCAAAGATGAGCACTAGATACTAGAGGATCAGGCTCAGTAAAATCAGGTTAGGAGGGGGGGGGGGGCCAATAATAAATTCAAGGGGGAGCAGAAGAAGACAAGAGTCCGTAGTGGGAGGAGGTCTCCGAGATGGACAGTCAAGGAAATGTGTTAGGACAAATGGAGTGCACTTTATCAAAGACGGCATTAAGAGGGAAAAAATCAAAGACGACAGGAAACCCTCCTTCCCAAAAAGATTGCATCCATACATCAGACTGCATGAACCAGACGAGAATTTCATGTACCCGTGCAAGTTCTAAATGTTATATTACATTGCAAAATCTACCTTGGTTGATGTGTTACTAAGTGTGTATATATTTTTTTTTTCCCCAAAATGTATGGTTCTTCCTTTATGGTATAAAGGGACTCTGCATACTTTAAGAAAAAGTTGTATTTTACTGCTAGACAGTACACAATGGAACTAAAGTACAGATTACCATTTGCATACGAAGTAAGTAATTTGCAGGGTTATAAAGAACCACAGTTTAAAGCATTTGTGCAATATGGTCCCTTTCAGCAAATAGTACCCAGTTTTGCCCAGTTAAGTTTGCTATATTATAACTACATTGCAGTTCTGTACATGCACTTCCTTTCATATATATTGCTAGTTTTTTTTTTTCCTTTTCTTTACTGGAAGAAACTTATATTAACGCTGGGTGGCAGCATTTTATTTAGTCAACAGCATACTGGCATGCATAATATTTGGTATATACTGTAATTATAACGTATAGTAAAGCTTAAAACCATGGGGGTTTGCAACCTGTTTTTGCAATAACAAGTATTTTCATACATTTAAATATTAGTTGTCAACACTTATATTTGAAGGTCCAAATTTGGGGATATGCAAATTTAATTATGTAGAGTAATACAAACATGTGAAAATTTTGTTTTATAACCAAAACAATTATATTTTATACCGAGGAACTAGTTGCATGGGGTAAAAACTTTTAAATTTAATATTGCTTACTTTAATATAATTTAATACATGTGTAACTAATGCTTTGAGCCTACACAGAGTAAAGCATGTACAAAAATTACCCTGTGCTAGTTATCCTACTCTGTTTTGGCCCCTTCAGCTTCATTATGCTTCTTATGCCAGTCTTCATTCATTTTTGATACAGACTCTCCCCTTTCTCTAGCCTTTTTACCCGAGTAGATCATGCCAAGACAGCCAAACAGAGTAGCCACACACATCCATATATTAATCTTGATCCTGGCTTTATTACGGGCACGTTCCAGAACATCTTGGCTGCAAAAATAAAAAACCAATATTACATATAGTACTCTTCCAAATTGCAAATTTATGGCAGTCTTCCTTTATTTTATGGTTAAAAAAAGAAAGATTTTTGTCTAGCATGCAAAGCACAGGAGAATTCAAGTTTGTGCAATACAAGTCCTCTAGAAAATACTTATGCACAACCTTATTTGGTGTACAGCATTGAGTTTAACAAATATAATTACAGTAACTTTGCTAAAATTTGCTAACCATTTACAGTACCAAGACACTGTACATCACAATGCATTAATGCAATCCTCAAGTCACTAATAAAGAGCAAGTTGGGGGGGGGGGGGAAGATAAATACGCATTTTATCCGAGAAAATTTCTTTATTAAGGGTGAACATTTGAGACTAAGCAAGTGTTGTACAACTGCGTTAATTTTTCCCCCATCCAAAAATTACTTTTGAAACTTAATTTGCCATTCTTGCTGGGTACTCTGCCTATGGAATGAACAATACTATAGTCAGTAACATCTTTTCACAAGTTCAGTTCTTTGGCATCTGCAACTTTAGAGTTAAGCACCCAGAGCACTGCAATCTAGAATTCATCAAAAGGCAGGACTAAGCCAGGAAGACTATGTAGTACTGTATCACCGAACAATAAAAATTACAAATCTAGATATATCGAAGACATCAGACAAAGAATTCCAACAAGGTACAAATAAAGGACTTGCAAGGCACATTACTGCATGAAACTGATACACGACCATCCCAAATTCTAGGCATTCTACAAAGAGGTGCACCAAGTGGAACATAATGGCTACAACAATAAAAAAAATAAGACAAGGGCACAGAATTAGGAAGACAATGAACACTTCCATAACAAGATCACATGGCACTGCTGCAAACTCACGAGGAGGTGCAGGAACAAGAATGGAGGGGGACGAGGCGGGGGGAGTATTATTACCCTTGCCACAAGGGATGGAAAAGAAAGCAGGCTTACACTTTTGACAAAGACAGGTGTGATAGCATCAAAGTGCTCAGTAACTGCCAATCATCTTTAGTGTGGTAGAAAGGTAAACATTATCCTGGATGTAGAGATGCAGGGAGTGGGGGGGGGGGGCCAAAAGATGGCAGAACCAATTAGATGGGACAGCAAGGCAGCACCAACTACCTGCCATAGTGGATAAAACAGAGGGAAGAGGGAGGGGGGGGGGGGGGGTTTCCCCCCCCCCCCATGGGTGGGATTTTTTTTATGCATTTGACATTTGCATAATTTAAAATATTTAATAATTTAAGACAGTTCAGCAATACTGGACATCTTTACATAATCATTACTCATGATTATATAATCTTTATACAAGTAAAGATTTGCCAAGTGTAGCTTTTTTTGTTTAAAAAAAAAAAAAAAAAAAAAAAAAAAAAAAAAAAAAATCTAGTTGGCATGGACAGGAAGTCTGAACTGTACTTTAGACCCCACCAAGGCTAACCACTGACCTTTCATAGGACAACTCCCAACTGTTTCCCCCATCTCCAAGTTTCCATTGAAGAGATGCATCAGGCAAAAGGAAACACTGCCCAAATTCTTGGGCAGAGTAGGCAACCAAGCAGTAAACGTGTATGTTTGGCAAACAAATTTGCCAATATTATATACTGTATTTGACAAATATTCGGTTTAGAGGCAAGACAGAGAGGAGCATGCATAAAAGAAAAAAATGCATGGTGCACTAGGTGAAGCACCATTCATCAAGTCATGGTCACCAAACCATTTTACGATATTTTGGCTATGTTCAACTCGACCAAGAGTCTTTGGTTCAACCCTCAGACAAGACAAATGGTTGGGCAAGTTTCCTTTTTTGTCTTAATACCTCTATTTTGTCTAGCAGTAAATTGATACCCAGGAGTCTGGCACCTTTGGGGAGAGGGGGGGGGTTGCAGGCTGAGGCTTCCATCAATAAAGCTTTCTTTTGGATAGGGCAGCAGGCATCTTTGAACAATGCTTCAATTTGCATTTATATTAAAATTGCAATCAAAATTATTTTCTCCCCCCCTCCCTTTTCAGCCAGGATTCCCCCCCCCCCTTTTTTTTTGTTACTGCTATGCAATCCTCAAGGCTATAGAGCTATTCAGTAGGCCCAAGTTTTTTGTAACAAGTTTACCTGCAAGAAAGTAGAGCTAGGCAAGAAGAAAATTATTCATAAAAAGTAATCTTATGATAAAACTGACAAGTGGACATCTTGTAACCAACTTCATGCAAGAGTATGGTATTGCTACCAGCACATGCATGTAAATAAAAATGTTAGTGTACAGCCAAATGCTTACTTCACATGATCGGGAACTTCTGCAATTGTCTTGTATTTTCCACCCCAAACCAAGAAGAATTTCTCTAGTTTACTGACACGATGATCAGTCAGCCCTGAAAAGAATTTAAAGTTTTAGAAAATGTTGGGAAAGCATATTTAATATACTGTAGTACTACAATATATTTAAGTTAACTGAAAAATGGTAAACTAGCATAACCATCACCAAGAAGAATTTAAAAAATTAAGGTTATTATATAATAACATTAATGTATGCTTCTGTACATTATGCTTTCAAGTTTGAAAACATTAAATTATGAGCCGAGTAAATACACCAAATTGTGGAAAAAAATTATTATATACTGTACTGTATACAAGTTTGGAACACGGAAAATAGGACTTTGGGAATTATCTACAAGCGTTAGCAGTAAAATGCCTATTCTTCAGCTGTATCTTGTCAAGCTAAATGGATATGATTTTTAATTTTGGTCACTAGCGTTATACAATGAATAAATGCAATGTAATATTAGCATTCAGAGAAGTTTTACAGTTAACCCCAGGAATTAGAAACCCTATGTTTATTAAACTTTAAATTTTCTAGAGCCACTGTTCACATGTGGATTCCTAGACCTTTCATTTCTCATTGCCCCCTTTTCAGTAATTTTGTAACCTATCTCCCACTAAATGTATTTTTTTTTAATGCAACTTAAAAATAAAGTTAGTTAATTTTGTTAATACAGTATTTATTCAATATAACCCTTGTGCTAGTCTCAGTATTTGCTTTTATATTCGAGTCAGTTTTTCCCATCTCTGCATGTTCTACTTTTCAGTATTTTATAGCTACTCAACCAAATATGAAGTTAAAAAAAACTGAATTTTAGTCATGTCATCACATGTTTGGATAGAGCCATTTAGTTTTATTTGACAACCACAATCTAGTCATTCCAGTTTTTTTTTTTTAATTTATATTTTTAGTCATCACTCAACTGTTAAACTAACAGGTTCCTCTATATTTTCAGAGCAGTATATCATAGTCAAAAGGATGCAGCACACTTTTTACTTCAAAATCAAATAAATCTGAAAATGATCCATTCAGCAATAAATCTTGCTCAGAAATAATCTTCATCAGAAATAAAGCTTTCCAGTAAAATCTTGAACACTTATAGACTAGCAACAGGCATAATTTGACTTCAAACTGAAAAAATGTAGAGTTTTCAGTGTTGCTCTCAATAAGACTGCAGGTTCATGGCTCTGCGAGTAATGGAAAATCTTCAACTTTGATAAAACTACACAAGTTTTATTTAAGACAATTTTTCTGGTACAAGTTCTATGCATATACAATTTGGTCTTTGATCTGACAATATAATGCTTTAACTTGTCATCTTTCAACAATTTGTTTCTTTGGGCTCTTGTCTATTCCAACATGGTTGCACATTTCTGGAATCCTATACATGGGTTAACCCAAGTGACAACTGGGTCAGTTACCAATATGGTCCTGAACGAGTACACTGCACAAGATACTTCCTTACTATGGATTAAGAGACCTTCCCCAGGATGCAACGTATGACTGGAGTCTTCCTGGTTAACTATTTACTGCTAGCTGAAGTAGCTCCTGCTAGTTTGGTAGCAGGAGCTGAAACATGTTAGTGTAACAGCTGTGAAAGCACTAAACACTAAAAAGCTTTTTGATATTCAATCAGAACTGCAATACCTTAAATTTAGTTATATTGGCACTTCATTGACTGTCAGCTCACAGATCACCAACAAATTGTTCGAATGTGTTTAACACTAAACATCTCACAAGCCTTTGCTTAGGCAAGAGTCCTTTGTCAAGATCCTAATCAGCATACAGAAAAAGCACTGCACTTTCTCTTGTATGAACTAGTCTCCGAACATTGCTTCTACAGGCTAGTTGTAGGTGCGGTAACTGTCACTTTCCTGGAAGACTTAATTATACGAGGTTGGTCAAGTCCGTCTAGAATAAAAATATGAACTAGTCCCTTAACCCATTAATAAATCGAAATTGTAACTTGCTTAGCTAAATGAATTGTGGGGTTCGGTCCCTGAACCCATTATGTGCCTCTAACCCTTTCCACTACCACCCACAAGATGGGTATGGGGTACATAATAAGTGAATTAAACTAAACCATTAATAAAACAACATTTAAATTGCCTGTCACCAGGTTTACCTAGTTTGCCACTTGGTACACTGGGCTTCGCTGCTGCTACGGTCTCCACATCCTTCTTTAGGGCCTGGTCACTGAAGGCCCGGCCATAGGCGACAGCAGCAAGAGCAGGAACATTAGCCTCACACAACCGTTGAGCCGGCAGGCGCACCGCCAGGGCCCGCATACAGCTATATACATTCATGGTGGCGGCTGACACACAAGAACTAGGGGCAGACACACAAGGTTAGTGCAGGATGGTGCCTGCGTCAGTAGCAGGGACAGTAGTGGGTGAGGAGCACGAACCAGCCCCCGGGACTACAGCTCGCACCAAGGCCGTGTCAACACTGGCCGGCCGCTGGCACCTCAGGCGGTAACCTCTCGCTCCTCGCCCACAGCTTTCTTCTGAATTTTCTCCTCGCCACACCTCCTTCTCCTCTTTCCTCAAGTTTACCGATACTTATTCACCTTTACCTTGCTTTCTGGAAAGCATCGAATGTGCCCTAATTTGATGTGATCTTTCAATCAAACCATAATTAGCTTGTTAAGGAATTCCTTTTTTTATATGATCAATTGCTTAATTAAAGAACGATTATAAAAAAATTTACAATTTAATTGTTTATACCATTTATGTTTACTGTTAACATTTATGTTTGAGTAGGCTTTCAGAAGAGGAGAAATGTTAGCTTTAAGAAGAGGAGAAATGTGAGTATGGCAAGTGATGGCAAGAAATTGAGAGCGAAAATTACAGTGTTAAGAAGTTGCGTGTGGAGGAGGCCCCTGTCTGGACGCACGTATACAATCCTGGCTAAGGTCATCCAGACACCTCTCCTCTTCCCACCATCAACGGTTGTGTAGGCTGCACTGTAACCCGATTGATTTATGAAGTTTAAGCCACCCAAAAGGTGGCACGGGCATCAGTAGCCCGTAATCTGTAACTCGATAAATTGATTGATGATGATCAAACCACCCAAAGGTGGCACTGCTACCCATGTAGATTGGCGGTTAAGAGGCGGGACTAAAGAGTCGAAGCACAACCCCCAATGACAACTAATAACTAGTAACTAGGTGAGTACAGTTGATTAGCCCGTGATATGTAACCAGATTGATTGATGAGGATTATAAGCCACCACAAAAGGTGGCACGGGCATGAGTAGCCCGTAGGATCTGTAACCCCCATATGTTTGTTTTCATACTCTTTTTACCCTTTCTGTTTCTGTTTCAGCTCTACAAGCATCGCACTCCCTAGGATAAACCAATGCAGACTTTTATGCAACCCTAATATTCAGGAAAGAATAATCCCTCAAATAACCCGGGGTCATGCATAGCTAACTTGTTAACCGATTGGAGGGTCGTGTTCTAGGGATACTCTAGTAAGGTGAGGCTTACCATCAGCTATGGGAATGGCTGCTTACCTCTCACCCTGCCAACAGAAGTTGTCTGGTCCTGCATTCACCTATGTAAAACAAAGCAAAATAAAAACCCCGTCTCCCCCATTATACCTAACGAACGTAAAACCTCTGGAATTTTAGTTGAATTTACCCTAGAGCCATAGGTTTCTACTGGCCTCGAGGGAGATAGAAAGCCGGTGGCTTATCTAATGTTCTCACCATTTAATTCGCTCTTTGTTGTTGTTGTTTAAAATTCAGCTACTGGGAACTAAAAGTTCCAAGTAGTACGGACTATGGTGAGCCCGTGATGGACTTACCTGGCACAGGAGCGGGGCTGAAATTTGTAATTCGCTGTGTCGAAGACAGATTATATATATATATATATATATATATATATATATATATATATATATATATATATATATATATATATATATATATATATATATATATATATATATTTATATTATATTAGGAACGAATTACTTAGGTATGTTAGGTTACAATAGGTTAGGTTTTATAAAATTTAAATGTTAGTTTTGACATCAAATTGGAATCATATATAATACAATAAAAACAATAATTTCATAAGACTTTTTTTACTTTTTTGTTTAATTTAATATTTCACGAAAATTCGGCTTGTTACGCAACTCTGGCTATTAGGTACGACATACATCACTCGCTCACACACACTCACATGTAGGCTTATATCGAGGTCCCCTTCCCCCCCCCCCCCCCCCGGGTCGAAGTACTGAGCTTCTCCAGGATGCAACACTGCAATAGTTGACTAACTCCCGGGTACCTATTTACTGCTAAGTGAACAGAATCATCAGGTGAAGGGAAACGTGCCTTTTCTTTTTTAGTGCTTGCCGGGGATTGAACCCGGGTCTACCACTTGAGTCTAGGACGTAGATCGCCTTTGTACTACAGCATCGATGTTCACTAGTGACTTTATTAAATATTAGTGTTTTACGTAACAAGTTCAACCATTGTACTGTGTTCTGTATAAATTAAATAATTATTATTATTATTCCGAGCGTCATTAATCATGTTACCGAAATTAATACTCTAATTGGTATCAAAATGTTTAGGCTAGATCATCCTAACTCTTGCACAAAAGCCCTCCAGACCTCCATTAAAAGTCAATTTAAAGGGGTCGATGAGATCAGCCCTTTCTTATCTGATTTGCAGTGTTGTTAGTCATGTGACCCTCAATCTTTCCTGGTATGAGAGTCGACTTACTTCTGAGATGATTTTGTCGCTCTGCGTTGTACTTTTACAAATCAGATATTCTGAAGACGAGGTCTCCATGTCTGGATACAATATCCCAAATGGGAGGGTGGGAATTATCTGGGGAAAGCACCAAGCCATTACGACTATATAGCACTTGGAAGGGGGTCGAGATAAGGATTTTGGATGGAACGGGGGGGGGGGGGGGGGGGAATGGTGCCCAACCGCTTGGACGGTTCGAGATTGAACGCCGACCTTCTTTTCCTTCAAGTCAAAAGTTCATTTGACTATTCCTAGGGTTTGGTTGCCCCCATCCATTTTTTTTTTTTTTGAACTGCAGCTCCCACTTATTGTACAAGCTTCAATGACTGATGGATTCTGACCAATAGGTTATTTGAGTCTTTTAATCTGCTGCACAGTAGTGTTGTTGATTTGATAGTTGTGATGAGCATTGTTATACCCTACATGCAAGGTCTTAATTTTTCAGGATTAAAAAGCATTTGACAATTTTCCGACCCATTTCGAGCTAATAGAGATCTATTTGTAAGGCCTCTATCAAACTTCCTACTTTTCCATAGATCTTAAGTGTCATCTGCAAATTTGATGACGTGGTTTGTAATATTCTCATACATGTCACTGATGCATAAAACAAAGTTGGTCCCAATATGGAAACTTCAGGTACCACATTTGCCACATTTCTCCAATCAAATCTCTTTCCTCTGTCATCTACATCAATGACCTTCCAAATGCCGTTCAATACCTCAAGCAAATTCTAGTTGCTGATAACCTTAATTTTCTCGAATCCTAACCATCTTGTTCTAAATGACACAGTGAATGCTGAAGTAAAAACATTCCATCTTTGGGTAACTTAACCATCTCATCTTAATATGGATAAAACCTTTGAATTTTTGTTTGGCAATGAGTCTACCAATCAAATTAACCCAAGAACTAACAATATCCAAATTAGTAACAGTAGATTGTAAATTTCTTGGTGCTCTCATTGATACGTTGAATTTCCAGTGCTATATACTAAGTATATATATAAAAATTAAACAGTTGGCATTTATTCTAAAATCAGATACAATGTACCTCGCCTTGCCCTAGTAGCTATTACTTGCTCATTTATACTTCTCACCTATGGTATTTGTGTCTGGGGGTCTATTACCCAAAGTAATTTTCAAACCCTAATTGCTCAACACAGGTCAGCAATTAGAACAAACTCAAGCCCCAGACAGTACTCTGCTTCCGTACTTAAATCTTTAAATATGCTAAATATTTAAGTCACTACACATCTTCTTAAGTGTACTCTGTATAAATAAAACTCTGAACCGAAATGCTAATCCCAACCTTAAGTGCTTCCTAAAGGGCTGTATCAAACCCTTTGGCACCACACTAGAAACAAGTATCTGATATTCCAAGAGCGCGACTTAACCAAAGCAGACATGCTCTGCAAATCAAGGGGGCCAAACTGTGGAATTACTTCCCTAATCACATCAAAGACTGTCCTCTCAACCAACGAGAATAACTAATTACTACTAAAGTAACTATGTAAACAACCTTGCTTCCTAAATGGTCGTATTGGACATTAATTACTGAACCTGTACTGTTACCGATATCTGCAGTGTAAAATGTTTATATAAAATTGTACCATCTGTATCTTGTCAATTTTTAAATGCTTACGGAGAAAAGTACTAACCTTTGTTCTGTTGCAATTGCTGCTGTTCCTTTCACGTAATTGTCCTTTTATTTGTATTTCTTTACTGCAATTCGTAAGTGCTTCCGATCTCATTTAGTTGCTTCTTACTCCATTATTTTTTTCCCCACATTGTGCCCATAATGCTCTGTATATTAGTAACTTTAGGCATTTTCTTATCTAGAAATCCTCCACTCTCCTCGTTTCTTTTATTTAGACAAGAGTATACACATATTATTAGCTTTGAGGATAGTTTATAACAAATTATGTAACTAGCTTATCAATAATGTAGTTTAGCTAAATTTTTGAGCTCTGTTCATATTTCCAATCTCTTTCTATTACCGCTCACAAGATGGGTCCAAGGTGCATAATAATTACATCCAATTAGAAAAAAATTACATAGTTGCTCTTGCAGAGTTCTGTATTTACCAAGATGCCAAAAACAGATAGCACAGTTTGTAAATAAACATTTCGTACTGATGTATGAAATCAGTAACTCTCAATAGCATTATTACACGGCTTATGTTATTTCTGAAAAAAGTTGTTGTATATTTATTAATTTAATCCATGTACGGTACTGTACATGGAGCGGGAAAGACAATGGCTTGAGTTCACTAGCTCTATTGGACGGGAAACATCTGCAAGACAAGTGTGGGCAAAAATTCAGATAGCTAAGGGGGGCAGAGCCCGGCCTGCGGCTCACAAAGACCCCCAGGGTAAGGCTGAGGAACTAATTCACAAGTGGAGTGATGCAGCATCCTCCTCCTCCCTCCCTGCAGAAATCAGCAGGGAACAGCTCCTGCGACATGATGACAGAAGAATTAGGATAACAAGAGCACTGTCTAGTGATGACGAATATGGGGAACCAATCACAGCCCAAGAAGTAAGGGGCGCTATGAAAAAGGGTAAAAGTACAGCACCTGGTGAAGATGGCGTCACCTACGACATACTCAATGCACTGTGTGAAGTGTCTGGGAATCCACTACTCCACCTGTTTAACAAGTCATTCCTAAGTGGAGTGTTACCCACACAATGGAAACA